TAAAAAAGCAACCATCTTTTATTTTTCACATCTCAAGTTAAATCATTATCTATACTGACATTTAATAGGATATTCATAAAATATCTGTTATAGCAGTATCCAATGTTTTAGCTGACCCTTTCCCGCAAGAAAATGCAGTAGTATCGAAGTAGCAAAGAAGTATTAACGCAGTAGTGTTGTGGAGCATATTTGCAGTAGAAATGCAGTATAGCCTACTGCAATTCTACTTCAAAAATTGCATAGGGTTGTACAGAGGAGGAGCATTAATGCAGTAGATTAGCAGCATGATAGAAGCATGTTTCAAATATGCTAATTAGCTCCCACATCGAAGCATATTTGAAGCATGTTTGCAGTATGATTGCAGTAGTCTACTGCGCTGGTGTATCTACTTCGTTTTCGTGCGGGCCTTATCAATTTCAGTCCAAAATATATGGACACTGATTGAGTTGATTTGAGAATTTCTTAAAAGACTTCAGAAATCAGCAGACTATAAGAATATGCACAGACCCTTAGTCTCTTCTCCTTACCATGGCCACTAGGACCCCATTCCCATACCTAGATCAATCTAGCAGGATCGATCCATCTCCAAGGGGATTCTCACAAAATTGCACTCAACTTAAGCAACTTAGAAGTCTGGCACGCCTAATGACCTGTTAGGGGGTAATTAACTATTGTTTAGCAGCTTCAGTACACCAGGTATCTAAGCCACTAAATCTGAGATAGACCGATCTCATTATCTAGGTATAACGATTGGGTCTAGGATAAGCTTTTCAGCAATGTGATTCAGGAGTATTAACAGTGTTTACATGCGTCTAAGAGTTTTGTGTCCCAAATGGAGGGTGCCCCCACTGCTGTTCCCATGAGTGTTCAATTATAAGAAAAAGTTTTCCAAGTAACCTTTTAAGTCCATGAAGTAAACTGAATTAAATTTGCTTTGAACACCCAAACAACAAAGCACTGAGCTTTTTTAAAACACCTAATAAGAAATCAATAGGAAATCAACTTAACTGACTTCATGACATGGTAACTTATGAATGAATCCTGCATATTTTCCTTTCTAATCTTCTGTGACAGAGACCCAGGAAGCAGACAACTTGATATTTTGTATGGCCACATATTCCTACCTTGACAGTAAAGCTGGTATTGATCTCTCTCTTTTCTGGTTCCGTGTCTTCTTCTATTGGAATAAGAGGAATATCACTGAAGCTGTGGTTCTTGGTGACTCTGTAAATTTTTGGTGTTCTCTTGGCTGAGCGAACAGCAGCCTTTATTTGTTTTGCCAACTCCTTCTTAGCATCTGTGACAATTTCAAAACCACCTGTGTTCTTGTTAAAACATAGCGGTTCTGGAAATGTCTGGAATAGAAATAACTAGAGGATCAGAGAGGCGATACCGCCTCTGGATATTGTACCACCAGCTGGAGTAAGCGCATTCGTATGGACACCACCACCAGTCTTGTGCTTGACAAGCTCTATAAAATGCAATAAACAAGAATTTTCAAAATATGCAAAAAAAAAAAATTCGAAAAAACATAACAGTTAAAATGGTCCAATCAAGGATATGTTCAAATTGACCTGTATTTTCATAACACTGATCTCTCCTGTGATTTTCTAGACAATAGGCCTATTGGTTTTCCTCGAAATGCATTATCAGTATTGCATATACCGGTGCTGACAAAAGGGAAAACCTAGGGACAACACTGGGCAGATCTCTGCTAGTTTTGAAGTTATGAAGGGCAAGAAAATATGCAGACTTCAGTTTGTGGTAAAAAAAAAAGTAGGTCAAAGGTCAATTTCAAGGTCACAGTAAGATTGCCAGTATATGACTTCCTATTCAAGTTGAATAGTAACTTTGGAACTATCTCTGCAAGTTATCAATATATAAAGGATAGAAAATTTGCAAAGTTCAGTTCATGGTGAAAAGTAGGTCAAAGGTCAATTTAAAGGTCACAGTTAGATTACCAGTATATAACTTCCTATTAAAGTTTAATTGTAACTATGGGTGTATCTCTGCCAGTTTTGGAGATATAAGGGCNGTTGTCCAATCCCCTAAATAATCCCTTCATTATATCATTTATTTTCCACTTGGATTCTTCAAAAACTAATTGTAGCAGTCAATTGAAATTATTTCTAGCAGTACAAATAATGTAAAAAAATCTATGAACTGTATGTTCGAAATGCATTAGCACTACAATGATACAGTAGATTTAGATTGTGGAAAGAAGTGGGTTCACAGTCAAGTATTGATTTCAATACACTTTGCAGCATGGAAACAACTTCTGAATGTCCCCACGTAAACAAATCCATCTCTGGCCAATATCACTAATTGCAGTTAATATGTTCTTTTCTTTTCCTTTTTTTGCTTCTAATACAATAATTGGATCGATTGATTTTATAGGTTCAAGAGTACAATGTGATCTAGAGAGGAGGGCATGGTTGTTGCTAGATATTTTGAGGAGCAGCAATTAACAACTTGAATACAGCAAAGAGATACTACTTTTAAAACAATAAATAAATATAAATAAATGAAATAATAAATACAAAAATTTGTGAAAAAAAATCACTGAAGTATGAATCTACCAAAAATAATATGATCACCTTTTGGTGAGAACCTGCAAGTAGACAGCTGACAAAACATTGTTTGATCATTCAATAATAAATCATTGATAATATCTAAAGCCTGAGACAGCTGATTCTCCTGGGATTGTAACAAGATATTAAATACACACTTGTGAAATAAATAAGAAAATGATCAATGCGATTTGACCAACCGATATCACATAGATAACAGATTAGGCTATAGCAAATTTTGAATTAAGTTAATTTATAGGCCTAAATCAGCTCATGAATTAATAGGTAAAACTGAAAATGCAGTATTAAGAAAGATTAATCCTTCCAGTCAGCAATACATTGTTCTTATCTGAGAAATTAATTTATGTCATGATCAGACTCGACTCAAACGTAATATTTAAAAAAGCAAACAGCTATTATTTCTTATGTCTCAAGTTAAATCATTAAAATGGTGCATGCCCAGTATCTATACTGACATTTAATAATATATTCATAAAATATTTATTAAAACAGTATCCACTGTTATTAGCTGACCCTTATCAATTTCAGTCCAAAATATATGGATAATGATTGAGTTGATTTTATAATTTCTTAAAAGACATATGAAATCATCAGACTAAGAATATGCACAGATCCTTATCTTCAAGTCTCTTCTCCTTACCATGGCCACTAGGACTCCATTCCCATACCTAGATCAATCTAGCAGGATCGGCCCATCTCCGATGGGATTCTCGCTAAATTGCACTCAACTTAAGCAACTTAGCTGTCTGTCACTCCTAATGAAGCTGTTAGGGGGTACTTAACTACCGTTTAGCAGCCTCACTAGGTATGCCAGGCATCTAAGCCACTAAATCTGAATGCAATTTAGCGAGAATCTCCTCTTAGATGGACTGATCTTGTTAGATCAATCTAGGTATAATGATGGTGTCTAGAAGAAGCTTTTCAGCAATATGATTCAGGTGTATTTTAGTATGTTAAAACAGTTCTTACATGCGTCTAAGAGTTTTGTGTCCCATCTGGAGGACGCCCCCACTGCTGTTCCCATGAGCGTTCAATTACAAGAAAAAGTTTTCCAAGTAACCTTTTAAGTCCATGAAGTAAATTGAATTAAATTTGCTTTGAACACCCAACCAACAAAACACTGAGCTTTTTTAAAACACCTAATAAGAAATCAATAGGAAATCAACTTAACTGAATTCATGACATGGTAACTTATGAATGAATCCTGCATGTTTTCCTTTCTAATCTTCTGTGACAGAGACCCAGGAAGCAGACAACTTGATATTTTGTATGGCCACATATTCCTACCTTGACAGTAAAGCTGGTATTGATCTCTCTCTTTTCTGGTTCCGTGTCTTCTTCTATTGGAATAAGAGGAATATCACTGAAGCTGTGGTTCTTGGTGACTCTGTAAATTTTTGGTGTTCTCTTGGCTGAGCGAACAGCAGCCTTTATTTGTTTTGCCAACTCCTTCTTAGCATCTGTGACAATTTCAAAACCACCTGTGTTCTTGTTAAAACATAGCGGTTCTGGAAATGTCTGGAATAGAAATAATGATGACATATACACATATATAAACACCTGCATTGGGGATGTAATTCATTAAGACCAGACATTTTCCTAAAATTGCTTTAGGTGATGGCACTTTCATCCACAATAATTAGCCTGAGCTTTTAGAAAAAAGTAATCGATAACTCAATTTTGTAGGGATCTGACTTTATAAATAACACTAATTAATTCTGTTGTCATTTCTTGTAAATAGCATGTTGTGCCAATAAAACATCCCAATAGAAAACACACACACACACACACACACACAAATGTTTGGCACAATATTTTTCTGAGTAGGAAAGCATTTTCTTTTCTTTCACAAAGTCAACCTCCTGTTATAAGTCAAATGAATAAAATCATATTGTTACACTGTTTATATTTTTCTTAATACAATTCAACTGCAGTAACATAACTGAACTTAATACAAATGTGTAATGATTCATGGAGAAAAAATTTTTTCAAGTACAAAGTACAAGCAGAACAATTAACTGTGTGTCAGTAATGTAAAATATAATTAACATAACTAAATTGAGCAACATTATCTTTGTCAATATCTAAACTTACTGGCAAGGACAAAAAGGTGTTGAAATATTCTATGAAAAGTCCATCTGTGGCCAACAGATCCTCCTGAAATAAAATAAAAGGAAATATCACCAATCCATAATCTGTTCTAAATTTTTTTTAAAAAAGAAAAAAAATGTTGAAAAACAGATCACCAGATGTCCCATAATCATACATCACCATGATACATCACCATGTACTTTACTTTTCCACATGTTGCTCTAGATATCTTGCAATCTTGGCAGTCGAACAAAATAATCATGAAATATGCATGTACAGATGTGACATTATCAAGTCCAATATGAAATATAATGTAAAAATGCAAAAAAATACACTAAAAACAATAAACATAAATACTGGTTCCTTCTATGTTTCAAGAGTGATAATTGATGACAGAATATACTAATACAATAAATATTCATCTTGTAACCAATTTAATTGGTATATAAAGAGGGGGTTAATTTACCCTTTCTTTTAATTCCAGATATTTTCCCTTTTTCAGATGACACAGGTCTTATCACACATACATGTACACACATAAAATATTAACACTGAGCTCAGTAAAGATATGGCTAGATAAATAACTTATAATGGATATTAACTAATCTTCATATGTTTAGGGTACTGGTACACGTAATAAATGATATGATCATATTTTAACTCATTCTGCCATAAAAACCAATTGATGGCAAAAAGAACATGTTGTCAAGGACAACATTAAAGTGCAACATCAACAACACAAATATCACATAAACTTAACAATACACTTACAAAATGCCTGCTTTCTTCTCTGATTGTCACCATCAGGTCCAAATCCTATCAAAGTCTACTTATCCCTGAATTTTGACACTCTTCTAATAAGCATTAGGATTTCTGTTAACTTTTATCCAAACATACAAGACTGTGACTGGCTACAAGCTTGCTATTGCAGTTATGTGTCTCTGTCAACTCGCTCCATTAAGCCCATTCAAGTTTTCTAGGTCCATTAAGTATTCTCCCATACAGAGCTATCCAAACACAGGGGACTGTGATGCTTGCACAACCACATACTATCATTTGATAATTAAGGACAGGGAACCCAAATGATTAATATATCAGTACAAAAAAGGGAGGATGAAAAGCACTAGGCTGTTGCCCGGGAATCAAGGGCTCAGTTTTTAGAGCACTGACTGAGGAATGTTCACTTTATCAAAGGTGCAAATACTGAAGAGATGTAATTATTAGCCTTTTGTTCTGAGGATTTCATCACACAGAACTCCTCTGGACACTACCTGTGACTGTTGACACAGGGATAATGTAAAATCACTGTTACCAAACAGCCAGCATGATCAGGGCCAAAGTAATAACATTAAGCTCACAAGACATGGATTACAGTAAAGTAGGTATTGATTTGGAGTAATAGTTTACTTTTCTACCAGTCCTGTACACTGCACAATGTGGAAGGCTGACAACAGGAACAACCAGAATCAAATGTAACTGAATGCAATCCTTGCACTACAAAGTTGGGATCAATGATTTAGTCGCCACAGAGTAAAATACACAGTATTGATTAGAATCTGCTAAAAGACTTTCTTATTGACTTCACAACTGGCTTATTAACAGTCGTCTCTCTCTCTCTCTCTCTCTCTCCAATTTCAGGATTCACACATGCGAGTACTCAGGGAATAGAATATCATGCAGTTATGCCCACTTCATCTTGACAAATAAATAAATAATAAATAAAAATAAAACAATAAATTAATTAATAAATAAATAATATACATAAATAAACAAGCAAAATTAAATAAACCAAAAACATGGTATCATAAAGTAAAAATTCACCAAAAAGAGTGTTAAGTTTATTTTCATCAATATGTCAAAGGTTATACATTAAGCAAGAGACAGCATGTAACCCACCTTAGCGACAGCTAACACGCATAGCCTGGAGACAGAGCTGTGTCTATATGCTAATCTCTTAACTTCCTAAGTTACCAGCGTGGGGAAGGGTACCCCTTGTTAAACAGATAGACCAGCACCAAAATCAGGAAAATATACTAGGGTATTAGTGCCTATAGGGTAGTGATAAAGCTAAGTTTCATTTGATCTGTTGTACAACACATGTATGGCTGATGTGCTGATGTACATATATAGATTTAGTCGACCTGCTTAATTTCTACAAAGGATGAAATTTTTGTAAAAAAAAAAAAAAGTGACTGTCAACTGCTTAATCTCTACAAAGGATAAAAATTTTGTTGAAAAAAAAGTGACTGTATTTTCCCCTTCCCAAGCTTGAAAACATATGTTTCAGTATATAATTAAATATGAAGTTCCCAAACATCATTACTGTGTTGCCAAATTTGCAAATTTGACCTATTCTGACAGAGATTTAGTCATCATAATAGGCCATATTTTACGTTTAAAAAATAATAAGTAACTTACAACAGGTGTGGTAAATCGGAGCATGTTATAACAAAAATTAGAGAAAAAATTGCAATATATTCCAGATATTCTCAACTGAAAACTGTGATAATGTATCACTCAAAATAATCATCTGTCGTGGTATATTACTAGTGTGCATCAGTTTCTTAATCTTTCTCGATAAACAATTACATAAATAGTGTTTCCTTATACACTTAGTACCTTCCAAATTTAGTCACAAGTGTTCTCATAATTGATTAACAAAACATATTTACACATTACTACCTCAGCTACAGTGAAACTAATCAATGCACTTTTCAAATACATTACATGCCTATTGATTTGCAATTCTAACAATCAAAGCGTGTTAAGATGAGAAATACAATTGTCACTGTTGATCCCACAGTGGATTGCGCCAAACCCAAACAGTAAGTTTACGTAACTTTTCTTTGGTCTGAGCGCTCTAACACGAGGGAGGTTAATACGCAGGCTTTAAACACCCAACAACTGTGAAATGTCCCAAAGGGAAGAGAAAAATGGACAGGAATTTCCTTACTATTAAGAAAAAGCCAGACATGGCCTATGGGACTGACTGGTCAGCCAGGCAGTGACCGCCCAGGTTGCCAGGTCAGAACACATTGTTTTGCTTCATAAATAAAAACCATAGGAATAATTTCTGGAGCAGTCCAATTTAAAGCTGCTATCCAGGGGTTTAAATGCTGGGAGTGATTTCTGAAAGGCCTTATTTCAGTTTTGTCTGAGAGAGAAATTTCCTTTCTAGTTTTTTTCAATCCAGTACAGTGCTTCTTCCACTTCTCAATTAATGTAAAAACTTCAATAGAAAATTATAGCATATCACATTCCATCATTGTTTTAATATGCACTTAACAAACATATTTTTAAAAAATTCTATTTGCAAATCAATTTTATCACCAAAATTGCCTACACAGCATTACTGCACATAGTACCTATAATATTTCAATCAGACGTCCCTGATAAGAGGCAACCTACATCACAATGCCACATTACCTGTCTAAGAAAGGTATATAATACCAATCACACCAAACTTCTATAATAACGGATTACCCTAATCTTTTTCTATAGCTTTTATTATTTGGATATCCTACAATACATTTAGATAAAGCCCTGTCAACTATCACTTGTAAACAAGTATAATACTATATCAACTCAAAAGTTTTTGTTCAGATGGGACCACATTCTACATGATACCTTGATGTTTACATTTATGAGCCACAATACATCAGGTTACAGCTGGCAGATCAAAGATAACAAGTCCAACAGCAGCCTTAAAAAAATATTTTCCGTGTCACCTAGGTTCCCAAAGTATGACAAGCATAAAAGTGGTGACATGAACCGTGCTGTAACTATTCCCATGTTTTTTGCACTGAAAACCCAACCTGGTAAAAGAAATATAGTAGTTCTGTTTAAAATGTCTCCCCTGAAACTAAAGATAAGAGATAAACACCTTACATATTTATTCTATCAAGACTTTTATATGTTAATAAGTTGTCTGTATTATGCTGGTATAAGCTAGAGTGAGTCAAGTTGAATAATAATGCAAAAAGACATTCTTATCAAAGAGCCGTGAAATTTTTGAAATGGACCACAGCTGCTTTTGGCAGAGAATATTTGCTTAATGTGAATAATTATTTACTGTGTAAATCCTTCACCTACACCCCAGGTCACCTGTAAGAGGAAAATGAGTTGCTATGAAAGAGAAAGAAAGAAAACATTTGTTTTTCAAGTGTTTGTGTAACCGGGGGGAAATGGGATATATCAGGAGAGATGGCATGAATTGAGCCAATCTGAAGCAGAGCAAACTACAAGACAATAAAATGAAAATGGAAAAAAACGGTCTGCTTTCATTTAATATCTAGAGGAGAAAATGACATTAATGATTCAAAGTTCTGTTTCTCTGTCATACTGAGAATTAACCTTTATTTTCTGTAACCTATGGCAATATGTTCTTTCTACATGGTAAACAGCTCTGGCAGAGATGCAGCAGGCCAAAAGAACCATCCCTTCTGCTGGGAAGCAGTCCACTCTGGGTAAAATTTGATCTAGGTTCATGAAGTTTTTATGGAGAAAGGCCCACTTTTTCAGTAAAAGAACCCCCCTTTTGAAATTGCTGGCTACAGGCCTGTGAAGTTGTACTGGAGTACGGTGTTACACTTTTTAGACACTGCTCCTATTTCAATGAAAGTATTCACTCACTCAATTTTCCTATATTGTACACTTATAATAAACAAGGAATCCCAGATTCAATATTTGCCATCTAAAATGTAACTGCTACTCTTTTTGACTAGTACAACACTGGTATGTACTTATATAGAGCCAAAAAAATGAACTCTCATATTTTGAAAAATATCATAAAATTCATTGAATGCTTGTGATATATCCTGTATGGCTGGAAAATCAGCCTACACAAAAATTGCTTCCATCGATATTTCCTTTCCATATAATCTACACTGTTAAAAAGATAGATGAAATCTAGAAAACTAACAGACCACAAAGTTATTGCTAAGAAATAGACATGGTGGGGATTTCTCAGAAGAAAGCATGTTGTTCATCAAAACAACCATTATCATGTATTTTCTTCACTAAGGTCATTAGCTTAAATTACTTGCACTCACCAAATCTTCTTCCTCTACCTCTGGAGGTTCTGGAATAATTCAAATCAAAGAATGGGAAAATGTTTTATTTCTGTTTGTCTCTCAGATAAATGCAAAAAGTATATTAAAAAATCCACATTGAAACTAGCATTTAAAGCAAGTGTGTTAATTAATTTCAGGAAATGCATGTGTACTTTTAACTTTGGAATATTTTGTGTGATTTGTGTGAACAAGTGTGCACTGTTGACATGTCAGTGCTCATTAATATTTCTAAAACGACACCTGCTGAGACATCAGAAAAACATTTTCTCATAGATGAAAAAAAATCAACCAAATGAATGCCCATAAATTTATTAAAATTTATGCAAAAAGTCTGCTTGGTAATGAAAGACTATCAAACAATCTGTAATGAAGCCACTTTTTCTAATATTAAACATGAAAATTTATTTTGCTGTAAAATGGAAAAAAATATGAAATTTACTTACACCAAAGATTAAAGATCAGTCAATGTCTGTAACTGTTAAAGTTTGGATAAAGATCCTTATATTGGTTCCTACATTAAAAATGACATATCTAACTTATTCTACCTAATGAACCACTAATACAATATATATACTGTATATATATATCTACACCGCCAGCTGTTTCCTTACCAATCTTAACTGTTATTTGTGGCATCTTAAAGACATCCGCTGAAGAAATCACTGCTTCAGAATAACTACTGGGTCTAGTAGTCACTTATCAGTTTTTCCAGCACTGACCAAGGGCTACAGACAACATTAAGCCTATTTAAAACAGGCATTTTGTCCAAAGTAGCACTGGTGAACAGTACACCGCTGTTCCTTAACTTGGATTCTTCCTGTCCCCCTATATTTCTTGGCTGCCATATGTGTAGGCTCCTGAGACGCTTAGCAACAGGTAGCAGTATTTCTGATTCAGCTTCACTGGCCTCCCTTATCAGCAACCAATACCTGAAACTGGAGCACGAGCTGGTCAAATACAGTATACTAGGCCTCAAAGACAGCTGTGTTTATTTACAGCCAGGAACATGTATTGGATTGTCACAAACAAGTCGGGTAGAACGAAAAATAATGTGCTATTGAATTACAATAGGCTATGTTTACAGTTATTTTAACTGGGTGCATTTTCTGAATGGCTTTGGAAGTTGATCAAAGTCACTTTACAATTACCAGTCTTTGTATCGGCTATTTTGAAAGGCGACAATTTTAGTTGTTTAATTGAGGATAGGCACTGTTGAAATCTCAGTGCAACTATACAATAATTAATCCACTAACCAGGTTCCCCTTCATGTAGACCCATGTAGACTTCATTCATTATCAATGACATATATGCATGGTTGTTGAACTTTGATCCTATTCCATGAGTAATAAATTTTCAACTGAAAAAAATGTTATTTTGTCTTCTTCAAAATAAAACCTGGAAATATATGATAAAATCCTTGCTTTAATTTCTGTGTTTTTGAAAATTGTTTCGAGTTACACCATGGTAATTTGGAGAAAAAAATTAAATACCAGTACTTGTACTGTACATGCGCATGCAAGTTTATGATTTATTGGAGACCGATTTATTTCATTCAGCAGAAAATATATGCATACACTTCTTTCATTATTATGGGGTATAGTGCTTTTTTGAACCAATGTGGATAGAAATTTATTACCAATAAGCAGATCTAGGGTACAAAGCTATAAAACTAGCTATTTTTAATGAGATCACTTTTATAAAAAGAACGTGACTGAAGCCAATTATTTACTTTAAGAAACTTAATTAAGTGGATAAATAAAAAAAGACATAAAAATAATTTACTAACAATAAAATTATTTAACGGGGTATATGTTGTACATGTAAGTGTATATATGTAAAGCCTTATAGTTCTACTGAGTATTTAACGCTACCGAGTATGCATTAAAAAACAAACAAAAAACATATGCGTAATGCTGCATTGTCAAATCAAAATTTGCACAGCTAAACAAAGTTTTAAAAAGATAATTTAGGTTACTTGAATAAGAAAATAGCTAGTCTTGTTGGCTTGTATATTAAATTAACTCTTTGGTTAACTCTTGGACCTAAATAGAGAAGGCCTTCTCTATTTAGGTCCAAGGTTAACTTGAACTGCTTTGCACCGGCTCCTTCTCATTTTGAGCATGCTGAGAGTAACTACATCAGAGCGCCATCTATCGATAAGCAACTACAAACATGACAGAGGTTTCGGGGCACGAAAATTGTTTCTGTATTTTATTGTAAATATTCCTGTCTTCTTATACCAAAACTACAAATTTATTACAAAAGGAGCTACAAAGGAGCACAATGACAGGTATGTTTATCTTAAGGGGTGAGTGGGCGTAAGCACTTAATAAAAATAGGCGGGGGTAGTTGTTTTCAGTGAGTGAAAACTCGGAAATCATGATTCGTTGTTGTTGCATGTAGCTCTCCATTTCATTAACCTATTCAAGTTTCAACTTCTCCATGTACAGATTTTCCAATTAATGCGAGTAGCCGTGAAAAAAAAACTTCAAAAACTTAACCATCATAGTAACTTTTTTTTGGCTAGTACTGTAGTAACTCTAAGTTAGTGTAAGGGAGCATTCAGATAGATATAGCGTAATAGTTGGGTTGATCCAACACTGCGGGGGCTCTCACTAAGTGCAGTTGGCTAAACTGAATTATACGCCTCCTCAAGCAGTGCGGGGGTAATTAACTTTCGTGCGCAATCTGTTTAATTACCCCGAAAGCTGCACAAGGAGGCATGCCATACAATTAAACGGATTCCGCTGCTTGCACTTAGTGAGAATCCCCGCAGAGTTGGACCAACCCAGCTAGTACAATGTGTCTAAATGGGGTCTTGTAGTGATATGACTATTGCTTAGATCATTGCTTAGATTGAACCAAATTTCCTTTCCATAAATAGATATTAAATAAATAGCTATACTAAATACTGTATGTGACTGATTGGGTGGCCTTGTGGACACAGTGTCTATCCTTGGAGCAGGAGGACATAGTGCCAACCTTTGCCTCGGGGTTTTTTTTTTCTTTTTTTTTTTTTTTTGCCTTACAACATGCTACCCAGTAGTAAGTATCAAGCATGTAAAGCTGAAAACTGAGACAAGTTCAACCTTAACTGTATGTTGGGAGGAGGAGGGGTACCATTACCATGCCATCATAAATGGCACCTGCTTTCCCTTGGCACTCAGCGCTGAGAGGTTGAAGCAGGGATAAAGTTCTTGGTCTGGCAGCAAAAGATATTTTTGTTTGCTAGCTTTCAGTGCCAGTGCATGGCAGCTGTGCTCTTTCCTCATTAGAATGTATTCGTGCAATCAGAGCCATATAAGATGCCAGGCACATAGTGAACTGCACTGAGATGTAGTGAAATCTGGTACATAAAAAACCTGACATAACTTTTATTTTATTTATTTATTTATTTATTTATTTATTTATTTTGACCTATTGCAGTTTGTACAAGATCAAGAAAATGTTTTGATTCGAAGAGTAGATTGATTGTACATCTGAAATCTAATTCTGGGGTGTACACAAAATTATTCTTGCACTTTGTCTGACCACCTTAGATACATACAGATGTTCTGTATTTGTTTTTGAAGAATCCACCCTTGCTTTACTGCTTTGTTAGGTTGTTGTGGCTGCTGCACAGCACTGAAACCAAGATACAAGAGACTGGTAGACAGTATATTCCCTGACAACCCAGAGGTGAGTTTATTTCAAATATTATAAGAGTATTTAGAAGATTTTGGTGTATTTTGCTTCTCATATCTTGTGAGATTTATTTATTCAGATTTAAGTGAAACAGATTTTCCTTAATGCTTAGGATATTTTTTTCACTTCCCTAAAGTATGTGGGACAGTTTGTTTCCTTGGATCTTAATGTGAGGCTTAATGTGCCTATATGTAGTTATAGTTCTATCTGCAATCTTTTTATTTTTGAAGGATGGCTTGGTCAAAGATAACATGCAAAAATTAGTGTACTATGGGACATCAAAGCCAGAGAAGTTAGACCGCATAGGACAGTATCTGGAGCAAAGACTTAGCAGAGATGTGACAAGAAGTAGGACAGGGTAAGTGTGCTGTGAACAATTATTTTGAATTAAAGTTACCTGTTCTTTTAAACATTTGTTTTCAGAGTGGTTTTTCAGCTATGTGTTATACATGCTGCTTTCAGTGGCATGGCATTCCATTTCTTGTTTTTTTTTTATTTTTCATTGTAAATTACAAGAACTTTTATCAAGACATTTATTTGTCAGCAGTATATATTTTTAATTGGTTTCCTCATTTTAGCTATGTCAGTATTAGCATGGAGGCACTAGACCAGCTCTTATTAGCTTGCCATGCTCATAGTAACTTGTTTGTGGAGAGCTTCCTGAAGATGGTACACAAGACATTGGAAAGCCCTGAGCCTCAGCTACAAATTTTGGCCTCACAGTCTGTAAGTAAGGCATTATTAATTGAATTGTAGACTCGAGTAGTTGTTTGTTTAGAATACACGTGGTGCATCTTTGCCTGGTATTTTCACACTATATTGATTTGAAATCTGAACATATCTTCAGTGAGATATGTGCCTGAAGAATGTAATTAATCTTTTGGTTTTGCCTTTCAGTTTGTAAAATTTGCCAATATAGAAGAAGACACTCCATCATATCACCGCTCCTATGACTTCTTTGTGTCTAAGTTTAGCTCAATGTGCCACAGCAGTGCTGAACCTGAGACAACAAGAATCAGGTAAGAGTGATCATATCGCCTTGGGACTGCAAATTTAGTCTAAAAATACACATTTCAGCTACAACTTGATTGTTAATTTCCGATTATTTGAATATCGCCTACGGCACGTGTAAAACCAGAGTGTATGAATTTTCCCACCAAGTCCCAGCAGACAAGTTTGATTTCCATCTGGCAACATCACATGTGTGAATGCAGCTATTGATTTCTTGTTAGGAACTGACTCTTGTAAATAGGAGTTGCTGCTATTGATTAAATTGCAGGATCTTTTTTTCCCTTCAGTATGATAAGCATATAAACAACTTCAGAGCATACCCAGTTTACATGATAAAGTAACACATAAATCAACCTTAAACTAAGGTTTCTGAGACACCTTTTAAATGAAGAAATATCACCAGACAAACCACACTGGGGGAAAGGGATTTGTTATTATGTGGTTTTTAGTGCATTTCTTTTTCCTTGCCAGAATCCGTGTTGCTGGTCTACATGGTCTTCAGGGCATTGTGAAGAAAACCGTCAGTGATGACTTACAAGTGAACATCTGGGATCCAGTCCACATGAATAAAATTATCCCTTCACTGTTGTACAGCTTGCAGGGTTGCAAGTGAGCATCAATCTACCATTAAGTTTTTTTAATTGGGGAGAGAAATGATACATGCTCAGATGAAAAAAAACTTTTGACAGGGTGTGATAGAAATTCACTTGTCTGTTTATAATTATGGCATGCAAAAAATTAGATGTTTTTAGTCTTGTGCAGATGCTACTTACACTTAATGGATAGTAGATAATAAAAAATGGTGAATATGGTGTATTGGTGTATATTATTGTTCAGTCAATACAAATAGTAAATTAATACAAATCAATAGAAATAGTAAATTATCTATATTGATCATACTTTCCCAGTATGGACAATGATCCAGAGAGTCCAAAGGAGGATGAAAGTCCAGGAGTTGTGGCTGAAATGGTCCTACGAGATTTAGTGTGTAGGGCTACATTTGGGAATATCACATCAGTTTTGAAACCAGTGTTACAGTAAGTGTCTCTCTGTCTTAGTTCTTTTGAAACTGACCATGTTATTGTGGTTAAGGTCTAGGTTTTGTCTTTATTAAACTTTGATTAATACCAATTTAAAAATGGTTTATATTGCACCCTTTATCCAATTCCAGGCATTTGGACTATCACAAGCTATGGGTTCCAAATAAGTTTGCTGTGAAGATTTTCAGGATCCTCATGTATTCAGTGCAGGTAAGACTTTGAAGTATGTGAATGACATATGTAATGAAAGGAAAACCCCTTGTTATAATGATTACAGTCTTATGCAATGTATTAGTTCAATTGACTGCTGAGCTCAAATATACAGTTCTAGGAATGTTACAAAGTGTAAAAAAAATTCAGGAGCCAAGAATGTTTGCAAGGGACAAAGCCCACTGGACTGAAGAAAACCCTGATATAGCCGTGGAATGTTCCTACCATTACAGTAACAGAGCATAGTTAATTGTTGTTAATTTGAAATACTCTTTAATTGCAAAGAAACTTTCTTAGCATTGTTCTTATGTGCCATTTTTCAGGACCAATATGGCCACATGGTAGTGCATCATCTAATGAGCCATCTAGACGCACATAACAAAGATGAGCCTAGAGTTAAAGCTGGCATTGTTGATGTTGTTTCTGAAACAGTGGTGATTGCTGCCGGGGGTTCTGTAGGTATGTGAAGGCAGTGTACCCTGAGGTTCAGTGATATTTGTTGTCAGGGGGTTCTGTAGGTATGTGAAGGCAGTGTACCCTGAGGTTCAGTGATATTGGTTGCCAGAGGGATCTGTACATATCTGAAGGCAGTGTTCCCTGATTTGTGCCAGATTCATCTTTTTTCAACTTCCATATATTGACACTTAGTGGTCACTGAGAGTGAGCTTCAGATTTGTTTGAAGTTCCTACACCAAGCAAAGATGCATATTCAGTCATGTGGATTTTATGGATCTATAAAAGGACATAAGTTGATAGACCTTCCCAATATTTGTGATTATTGAGGTAAACTTAACTTCAGTGAAATACCACTGAAGTTGAGACGCATGTCTTTACATGTGTGAATGCATAATGAGCTTTCAGAGTTCCCTTCATCCTCAGTTATAACTGCATTCATTAAGGTTACTGTTAAAATTGCAATATGTGGGGTCACAAGGCATGTGAATTGAGTATAACATTTATGTTTAATGTTTCAGGACCATCTGTTCTTGAGGTGTTTAACACATTGTTACGTCATCTTAAGAGTTCCGTGTCAGTACAAACCTCTGACAGGCAAAGGGTTCTAGATGAGAAAAACTTTCAGGAAGCAGTTATTAATACTATAGGTGAGTATTATGATGCATGCATTAATTTAAATGAAGCTTAATATGCTTCATAGCACGAACAAGTTCACAATGCTTTGAACAATTAATTTGTTCTTTTTATATTTAAGCTAGAAGTAAGTGATTTATTTATTGCACCTTTTTAAACATTGTTTTGCATTGAATTTTTTACAGGTGAATTTGCCAATAATCTCCCAGACTATCAGAAGATTGAAATCATGATGTTTGTAATGGGGAAAGTACCGCTTCTAGATTTGGAGGAGGATGTTTCTTCAGGGTGAGATAAAAAAAGAAAATTTTCACTTGCTAATACTTACCGAGTTGGAAAGTCAATTCATTTCATTCACTTTTTATAATGGATTCCCTTTATGTGTGTAATTATCTCAAAAAAGACAACGAACTGATGTACTAATTTTAGCACTGAGCATAAATGTATAATTTGCTAGTCAGTCAGTATATTAAGTTTTGTTGCTGAACAGAATTTTAAGAAGTTGAACAGAATTTCCTGGATAGTTGGAATAAGAAATGTGAGCTTATGTAACTCAATCTCTTTTCTTCCAGGGATAGAAAGGACACTTTATTACAGACAATGTTATTGAAAACTATGCTAAAGGTTAGTGGCAGCATATGAACCAAAAACAAAAGCACTAATCTTTATTTTTCATATGTTATTTCATGTCAACGTAACAAAATTGGCCAGTTATAAGCTTGTATAATTTTTGTCAAATGCATTTGGATACTGATGCCCATTTGTCCATTTGATGTGCTTGTTTGAAATTGCTTATTAGTTAAACTCATACAGTGAGCATTACATGTAGCAAAAATTGACTTTTCCACAAAATTTCATAACGTAACTCTTAATAGCCAAGGTATCATGTCCAAACTGTAAATGAAATTATTATCTATGAACTTTTTAAAAAGTTTTTTAAGTGCCAAATTTCTATTTTTTAAGCCACTCTCATAATGGAAATAGAGACCTGTGGATTTTACTTGTAACACATAAACTATTGAAATCAAAATGGGTGAATAGATTGTAATATTCTCGGCAGTTTTGAATGGGGTATAACTCAGATATTGTGTGTTGTTAGGTGGCTACCAAGTATCGCACAGTGCTAATGATCAATGCCTTCCCTCCTGCCTTCCTGGATCCATTACTGAGAATGTCTCTTGCCTATGATGCTGGCATCAGATTGATTGTGCAGGAGATTCTACACACACTTTTAGACAGACATGACAACTCTGGTAAACTCAAGTTTGTCAGGTAAGCATTTGGTTTTAGCTTACTAGGGGGACCTTTCTGTACTCTACTGATGTATGGTTTGAAGTGTATCATTTGATGTAAAATGGAAAATATTTTCAATAAAGATGTTTGTTTGGAGTGCCGTACTCTGAAGTGTGATGTTTAATGTGAACTTTTCTGAATTATAACAACAGGCATAAAAGAAGATATGCATTGATTATAGAGGTTAGCATAGGAAAAGTTTCCTAAATGTTTTCCAAGATAATGGCGTCATGTCCTTAAGTAAATGAATATGTTATGGTTGCTTTTAAATTTACCAGAATGGCCTGGGTTCTTTTATCAGTTTAATATCCTTGTAATTATAAATATAACTTAAATTTTTCTCTTAGAACTGGCAAATCTGTGTGAAATTCTATTTTTAATTGTTCCTTGAAAAAACAGTGTTTTACTTATCCCATTTGGGACTTCAGAAAAAAAAAGCAAAAAATTTAACATATCTTTAATATTACATTATTTAATTCTTTTGAATTATTATGGCATCAATTATTTTGGGATATGTAATATTTGATTTCGGTTAATTTACAGTATATTTGAAAAGGTGCATGGGACATTTATAAGTAGAAAAGAAATAATTATGTGTAACCTGTCTTTTCTGGTCACCTGAAAAAGCCATATTTGAATATTGTTATTTGTTGTGGTTGTAGTGAGAACAGTGATACTATAACATGGTAAGGCTATGGTTTTTTCCTGTAAGTTTGTAGATCATTACCCGATTGCTTTCACATTTCTTGTTGTTGCATGACAGATCATTTACTGCAGTTGAGAAGGATGTTATTAGTGGGCTGGGCTCTTAATCTAACACTTAATGGTGGCATTTGTGTGACTCAGGTTGACTTCTTTTGTTTCATTATTTTGTCCACATTTTATTAGATTTAAGTCAAATGTAAAATCTGAATTGAAAACTCCACTTACTATACAATAGTCCACTTCATATAGATTAACTTGGAAATTAAAGCTTGGGCTGTGGTCACATTGAAACAAGTGTTAAATGGAGGGTAAATGCGTAACTAAGGCATTTAAAAGCTCTCAAAGGGTCATTTCTCATTGAATAGTGAATTTGACCAAACCTTGCCCTTTGTTGCTTTTATTTCAAGCTGTATGTAACGGATGAGATTTTTGAAAGTTCAAATTGAGCCACATTGTCCTTACTAACACAGAAAAGTGCAAATTGAGTATTTCTAATGCAAAGCAATATGTAGATATAACTTCTCACTTGTTACATGCAGGCAATTTTCATTTGATAACCTGACATTTGATTTAGTCTCTTTTGAACCCATTTCATTAGTTCATGAATAACAATAACCAACATTTCACAGACTTAATAGGGCTGTCATGGCTATATGCATTGGCAACCGAGGTTTTTTTTGTTTCAGGAATGCACTTGTGTCTCATCTGTTGGGCATTAATTTTTTTAGAACATGTCTGGAGTGTAAAATGGTTTCAATTATTTGTTGATGTTGGTTTTTCTGTAGAAATATTGTCATAAGCCAAAACTGTTGTTGCTTTTTTAATATCCAGTCACTATTAAAGAAATGTTAAAAAGTAGATTTTTGAATAACTGTAGAATTTGCTTTAATTTCATCTGGTGATCCCATATATAGATTACAAGAATGGACCCTGCCATGCATGTAACCTGGCCTAAGGACAATATGTGTATATACACAGTAATACATGAATCAAAAATCAAATGATCCCTGAGCTTTTAATATGTTATATATGCACTACAAGCTTTGTCTAGTTAAAAAACACTAATTGTCACTTTTCTTAAGGAAGACCAGGGCAAGGTGCTTTATATGGATCCAAACTGATGCACTAACTGTTGTTTCAGGTTTTATGTTGCACTATATTTTAGAAGTATTCATTTGTATATCAGTAGAAAAAACTTTGAATATTTGATACTTGAAGTCAGATACTAATTTTGCAATCAGTGTTGACATGTTTTACTCACTATTTAACAAGAATCTGTACAATTATGAGGAAGGTATAAATTATTTAGCACTCTTTTGGGGTCTATACTCTTATAATAAATAGCCAAAATATTTCTGTTCTCTTTAAGGATTCCCAAGGATATTCAAGCTCTCAATCTTACAGTGGAAAAAGCATCACAACAAGACATATTTTTCATCAAGAAGGTAAAGTTCAAACATGTTAGATATAAAATAAAGAGGAATGTGGGTTGCAAGCAAAATGGATTTTGAAGTAAAAATATTTTTCTTATGGAGAACAGTAGAATAAAACTAAATGATGGTGTGGTAAAAAAATGATATAAGATGATATCAATCTAGTTAAGTTCAGTGAATTATGCAGTTTGTATTTATCATTATATGTACATAATATCTAAGTATAGAACATCATTAAAAATTAAAAAGCAAAGTATATTTCAGGAAGTATTGCTCACAATTATATTTATTTTTACCTTACATGGTTTTAAATTGTGCACATTGATTCTATAAAACATTGTGATACTAGTAAGTACAGACATTGTCATTTTACCTACCACTGTTTTAAGTAAATTACTTACAATGTTTTAACCTTGCGTTTTTAATGATGTTAAATATATTTTTATTTCATAATTTTTTATCGTTCATTGTACAGTTTTGTTTTTTATTTACAGAATGGTCCCCAGTTTTACAGCTGTATATATGAGAACATGCTTCAGGAGAACAATAAAGTAGACAACTTTGAGGCCCTGTACTGCACTCTGGCACTTCTGTCCATAGAGTTAGGAGGGGAGGACATCTTAGTGGACCTGGTCAGGCTAGCCATGGGGATACAGGTATTGGACGGTTTAGGAAGTACACCTTCATCTACAAATCTAAACCCAGTTGGGTCATCCTTATTATTTTGGTAGTTACAAGATTATTAGAACCTTAAACATACTCTTATTTGTTCATCACAGTTAGTTCATCACTTTGTCATATGCTGTTCTATTTCAGAATATATCCGTGTCTTCAGATTTGCCTGTTACTCATACTTGTGCTATCCATGCTATTGTAGCAGCTTATCTCAACCTTATAGGACAGCTCTCAGCAATTCCAAACATGTGCACACATGTTTCAGAGGTAAGTCTTATCCACATGAACAGAAATTTCATGGATTTTAGATTCATTAAATTTTTTTTCAGATTTTCACCCTGAAAAACAGTGTCAAAGCCATTTTATGTGTTCAACTTTATTTCAGCTCTGAACCTATCCTGATATCACTTTTTACAGCTGATTTCTTATGTATAAAATATTTTACAGATAATAGATGCAAGGAAAAATAAAGCTCCTCACCTTTTACCAGATTTTGCCTTCAACAGAAGTAATACAGAGCAGAGGTATAATAATCTTTTCATTTTATGTAATAGAATGTTTTATATTATATTCAAACTATTCCAATTTTGATTTATTTACATGATTTTATAAACGATTTAAGTGGTTTTTTGTTGGATTTTCAATTTTTTATGTATAAAAATGGCATAATGTATTTTTTTAGTATTGTTATTATAATGAATATTATTCTTATTTATTTTGTTGCTTTGAAATTGGTAATGAAGCACAGCTCTTGTTAACATGGGTAATTAGTCTAGCATAAGCTGGTTGATTTACTAATTGCTGGAATTCTGTTGTATTACAGCTACCCTACATCCACCAATGTAAAAGATGAACTCCTATTTGACCAGGCTGTGATTAATGAGGCATTGACCAGTAGAGGCTATGACACCTCAACTTTGGGGACACCTTTCACTATCTCTAGGCTCTCTCAGAGTAGACTGGGTAAGAAGACTATAGAGGCTTAGGTCTGTCTACAGTCTTGTAAAGTCACCACTTAGAGGAAAACTTTTTACTACATACACTAACGTAAAACTTGGAAGAATTATCAAGTAAAGATGGGGAGTTGTGTTTTGATACCTGTCCATGATTTTAAGTGTCCTTTATGAACTGAAGCTCTCTCCTTTTAGGTTGACACAAAATACTAAACTGAATTCAAGTTACAGACATTTGATGAATAATTCAAGACTCATTTATTTTCTTAGTGATAATCGTAGTAAATAAATTAACATTAAATTAACACTAATAAATTAACATTTTTTAAGATAGTGAACAGCTCAGTAATTCAAGACAGAGATCTAACTGTGCAGCAGATATGCGAAATGCATATATAAACTGAAGTTTTAAATTTTCATAGCTAATGCTGATATAGTTCGTTTTGATTTTTGATAATTTAGATAAAATCTAGTACTAAACTAAACTAAACTTAACAGTGAACACAATCTCTTGTATTTCACGATGCAGGTCGCATGGACAGTTGGTTTGCAGGTAAACTGGGGTTCATGGTGCATGTGACCAACCTAAAGACCCTAGTAGACAGTTGTATTCAGCATAAAGTTTCAGACAACAGTGCCTTTGATAAGATGTTATAGTATCACAGGGTTTGATTTGCAGAATAATTTATTTTTAAAAGCAACCATAAAGACTTCTGTTCTGGTAAATCTCTGTCTAGTATAGGCGCTAGATATAAAACTGGAATAGACTATATTATTGCTGAAAATCAAAATTTAATATCCAAAACATAGCCCAGAAATGATGAATCTGTTGTAACATCTACTGAAGGCACTGAATAAGCAAATATTATAACATAATGTTTTTCAGACACTTTATTTTATGTTCATATTTATCCTAACCATTATAGTTATTCACATTAAGGGGTCCATTTATTCAGGTGGGATTCCTTTTTTGCACGCTTATTATTATCATTTTTTTGTTTTATTGCATGCGTATATGTTATAAATTGGTTTTACCTGACTAGCTTTAGGTGCATGCTGACACACAATATTTTATTAAAAGGTAAAGGTAAGGTTTATTTGGGTTATTTAAGAAAAGGTGTTCTGATTTTTTGCCAATTTGTCATTGATTTGATGGAAAAAGTTGCCTGATTAAAACAAGATTTGTAATAGCATGTTCTAGCATGACATCCAACCCTGTGAATATTTGATAGATAACACAAGACAAGAACAGAGTCATGTGGTGCTGGTGATTTGGTCAGTTTTTCATTTGGCAGCTACTTAGGTTATTTCTTTTCAGATTTTATTTGTTAAATTACCCACATGCCTTTTGGTGATTCAATCGTTAAATGAAAGATAATTTATTATTTGAATGATAACCATTAGAGTGAATGCATTAGCAGTGGAAGACATATATTAGTCTTCTTAGTGTTTCTAGTAGTGTTTTAATTTTTGTTAAGGCTGTTTAAAATTTTAAAATTGATAACCATTATAAAAATAGTCTCTTATTATATATTTCATCTCAATTTGCAGTTTTAGAATTATGTTACTCTTTTGCTCACTAAATTGTAATTGCTCTAACCATAATAGTTATTCAAAATAAGTGTCTTTACCAAACATCTTGAAAGGTAACAAAATTTTGATTTTCAGCTTTAGATAGATTGTATTATTTGCTGAGAGGTACAAAAAAAGGTTTAAAGCCTAGCTTGAGTAATAAGATTTTTAAAATAGTTCTTGAATTCATGCTTGCATTTTTCTGCTCAAGTCATAAAACCTTTAATATCAAATTACACATAAATTTGCTTCAGCCAAAGTAAATTATGATCTTTTAAGATTTGATGAAAATTTTGTGCTTATCTGAGTGTAATTTTGGTATGAAAACTATATAGAAAACACTCAAAAGTGATATCCCCCCAAAAAATATGCTTGCAACATGAAATAAAACATAAAACACCTATGTTAGTAATGAATATTTAAACTTACAGAAACCAGTAGCGGATCTTGGCTACAAGGTGAATGACTCAGATATGTTCATGGGAATTACTTTTTTTTTTCAGTTTTCATTTTTATCACTCACAAAAATAATTTCCAACTTGCACCAAAGTTGATTTTTGGATCTGACATAACCCATTTAATTTTTGGAAAATTGAAATAATCTCTATGAAGTATTACTAACAAAACATTTCTGGAAAGATGACCATCTTTTTGTTTTTGTTTGAATTTATTGAAACTTAACCACAAATGTTTTATGAATTAGTTATTTTTTCTTAACAGTATCTTGCCTGTGCATGCAATTATGCAAGTACTGTAATAACACAGTAATAACAATAGGGATAAGAAAATTGGGGGTTGTATGGGTGAGTTCTTATATCCTCTCCCCTTTACCACCAAGGACAATGTTTTTTCTACCCTGGTTTGTTGGTCTTTTTCTAACTGACATGAACTGACAGAAGAAATTTTGTTGCAATTACTGCAATATTTTCTGTAGGTATTAACAGTGATATTAGTATTTGACTTGTATTAGCAAAGTCTTGATTTCTTCCCATAGTCTTTCTGTACAATACTTTTAATGGGCATGATCCGAGATGGCATAGGAAGAAGCTGATGACAGTTTTTGACAACCAAACCTGCAAAAATCCTCTTAAAGTGGAGTTAACTGTTAACAATACAAAACATGAAACACTGTGCTTGGATGTTGTCTGGGAAAAGCAAACAAAAGTAGTAAGCAAAATGGTTTGCAGAACATTAAAAAAATGATCAAAGAATAACTATGGATTAATTGTTAGCTTTATTTTTGGCATCTCTGCACTTGCTAGTCTGCCATTATTTCTGGCACAACTGTCCTTCAAATCCCATGAAATCTTACTTGATTTTACACTTATTCTCAGATGATGCCCACTGAAGATTGCATTCTCATTTTGTTTGCCAAAATTTAACTGGCTTTGCAAACATGCTGAAATTCATGTCTCAGTTTTTTTCCAATTTCAAAAGAAATTTTTGATTTGATGATTTATTTATGAGAATGGAATGCAAATTATAAATCTGTCTGCATGTTCTTGTGTGTCTTTGCTATCTTTGAGATAGTTATGGGGTCCATTGGCCTGTTTTTACACTTGTTTCAGATGAGGTAGATATGGCTCACAGTACCAGTGACATTCACTCCATCACCCTGTCTATAGACTCCTCCTCATCTTCTCAGACACCACTCATGGGACAGGTAGGTTCCTGCCAAGTTTTTTGTCCGCATGGTTTTCATATAAAGGACATCACCACACAACTGTCACAGAGGCTAAATCAAAAATTTCTTTTGATGAATTATTCAAACTAGGAAAGTTTTGATAACTGCTGTCTGCATATCTATTCACAAGGGTGTTAGATGTCTGATCTGAAGTGGGTTCTCTTTGTAATTTTGCCATCTGTGTACTTCACAGTCATGAAAAATTTATTCAAAATTTTCATGCATCTGTAATATATTTTACAGTACATAAAACACTGTTATTGATTTAGATTAAAACATATGTTCATTTCTTATTTTATATATGAAAAAAAGTAATTTTTGAGATTCTTTAAAATAGCGAACTTCAAAAAACAAGTTTTGTAATGGTAGGAATCTTCAGAAAATTTATTAAATATTTCATCTTTTCATATTAACAGAGAGGTCAGGCACCAGAGGATATCACATTTGAATCTCTCAAGAAGATAATCAGTAAGTTTCTGTGGGCATTGTGCAGAGACCATCTTGATTACTGTAATAGGGTGTGTTCCCAATGAAACTATCACACTAGGTGTTAATCTGACTATGATTCTTGCAGAGTTAGTTCATACAGGGAATCATGTCTATGATATAATTCACTGGATCATAAAATAATTTTATTGTGAACACGCCCAAAGACAGCTGCAGGAATTTATACTTGATCAGACCAGGCCTAGGCTATCAAATTCAAAAGTTTATGTAACATTAAATCTTATCAATGTAGGCTTTAAATCTACCATATTTCATCTGTTTGATTTCATTTGTTTATTGTTCTGCTTTGTCATTTCAGCTGAGGATGATGTAGAGAGGAAGAGGTCCCAGGAGATGAAACAGAAGGCAATCCTAGAGAAATTTCAAACAGCTCCATTTGAGCAAATTGTGGCCAAGATTGATGCAGAAGTAAGAGTTAATTGCCATCTCAAGGAAATCTCCAGTTATCCCATTTAATGTAGATAATAATAGTAAAGATAAAAGCTGATGATTCACTAGTGATTTACTTGCTACATGTCTAATAATGCCAGCAAGCTTTAGACGTATCTGTTTAAAAGATTCAGTTGCATGAACAAGTGAATTTGTGTTAAGTTTTAATTTATGATAAATATTTATCATTACTATTCTTTTTCACCCCATAATTATTTATCTTATAGTTGTATTTTGTATTGTGAGTTTTAAAAGGTGAGCATATAATCCTGGAAAAACCAATTGCCACCTTTAAATCTATGTAATAAGAAATATATTTCTTGCATAAATATGATTTTTAAAAACTGGTAATTAAAATACTCTCTGGTGACTTAGATAGCTTACTAGTTTTAACAGTAGTATACCTAAACAATATCACTCATACTGAACATTTCCCATTCTAGTCCATGGTGTTCCAGAACAAGCTGAGTGAGATCCTTACAACAATATCAGATGAAAATAAAGACAATGCTCCTCAACACCAGACAACGGCAGTATTTGATATGCAGTTCCCAGACTTGTATGTGTACTGAGCAACACTTTTATCAACTTACAAATGAAGGAAGTTGCATGTAAACTAAGGAGCGTGTAGGAACAATGTTAATGATTGAATTTATTTATCAAAAGGAAATGTATGCCAGCTTGTGTGGGGGGATGTAAAAAGACAGAAAATGTGCGGTTCTTATAATGAAAGGTTTGTAGAATACCAGAATGATACTGTGTGTAGTAAAGACTGAACAATGAACATTACTGTTTTAGAACTATGGATATTGAATAAGAAAAAAGATCCTAGAATGATGAATGTAAAGGTTTTGAGAAGTGATACAGCTACTGATGCTGAATTTTTAGGAAGAAATTGATTAAGTGCAGAAATATCATTCATAAATTTTCTTCTCTGTCTGCCATTGGCAGATGTTTAATTTTCAGATGTGCCTAAAGCTTTCAGGTTATTCATGATATTGGAGACTTTGCTGTTGCCTTATGATCCACTTCACTGTTATCATTACTGTATGTACAGTACAGCACAAATTTATAGAAAGGTTTAAAACATGCTTTTTTACTGTTTTTTTTTTTTTTTTTTTTTTAAATTTGAAGTAAGACATATATCTACACTTTTCTGTCTTTTCAATTTTGGAATAGTTTGTGGAAGAGTTTGTTACCTGTACAACAGTGGTAATTTGTTCTCTTTAAAATTAATGTTTATTCTTTGGGCATGTATAGATCAATATTGGTTACAAATAAGAGGGGAAATGTCTTTAATGTAATTTTGTTATTGCCTATTATTGTTACTTTGAATAATTGCTTAAAATTATTTGTCTAGGAATTATGAATGATAGAAATCTGGAGGTACTTTTTTCAGTAAAAAAATGCAATAAAACATTACNTATGGGCATGATCCGAGATGGCATAGGAAGAGGCTGATGACAGTTTTTGACAACCAACCCTGCAAAAATCCTCTTAAAGTGGAGTTAACTGTTAACAATACAAAACATGAAACACTGTGCTTGGATGTTGTCTGGGAAAAGCAAACAAAAGTAGTAAGCAAAATGGTTTGCAGAACATTAAAAAAAATGACCAAAGAATATCTATGGATTAATTGTTAGCTTTATTTTTGGCATCTCTGCACTTGCTAGTCTGCCATTATTTCTGGCACAACTCTCCTTCAAATCCCATGAAATCTTACTTGATTTTACACTTATTCTCAGATGATGCCCACTGAAGATTGCATTCTCTTTTTGTTTGCCAAAATTTAACTGGCTTTGCAAACATGCTGAAATTCATGTCTCAGTTTTTTTCCAATTTCAAAATAAATTTTTGATTTGATGATTTATTTATGAGAATGGAATGCAAATTATAAATCTGTCTGCATGTTCTTGTGTGTCTTTGCTATCTTTGAGATAGTTATGGGGTCCATTGGCCTGTTTTTACACTTGTTTCAGATGAGGTAGATATGGCTCACAGTACCAGTGACATTCACTCCATCACCCTGTCTATAGACTCCTCCTCATCTTCTCAGACACCACTCATGGGACAGGTAGGTTCCTGCCAAGTTTTTTGTCAGCATGGTTTTCATATAAAGGACATCACCACACAACTGTCACAGAGGCTATTTACTGAAGTATTAGAACTAGGAAAGTTTTGACAACTACTGCCTGCATATCTATTCACAAGGGTGTTAGATGTCTGATGTGAAGTGGGTTCTCTTTGTAATTTTGCCATCTGCACAGAAAAACCACGTTTACAGTCATGAAAATTTTATTCAAAACTTTCATGCAACTATAATGTAACATGCATAAAAACATAGATTGAGATTTAAAAATATTCATTTCTTACATATAAAAAAAGTAATTTTTGAGTTCCTTAAAATAAGCAGACTTAAAAAACATGTTTTCTAATGGTAAGAAAATATTAATAAAACAATGTATTGAATATTTCATCTTTTCATATTAACAGAGAGGTCAGGCACCAGAGGATATCACATTTGAATCTCTCAAGAAGATAATCAGTAAGTGTCTGTGGGCATTGTGCAGAGACCATCTTGATTACTGTAATAGGGTGTGTTCCCAATGAAACTATCACACTAGGTGTTAATCTGACTATGATTCTTGCAGAGTTAGTTCATACAGGGAATCATGTCTATGATATAATTCACTGGATCATAAAATAGTTTTATTGTGAACACGCCCAAAGACAGCTGCAGGAATTTATACTTGATCAGACCAGGCCTAGGCTATCAAATTCAAAAGTTTATGTAACATTGGATCTTATCAATGTAGGCTTTAAATCTGCCATATTTCCTCTGTTTGATTTCATTTGTTTATTGTTCTGCTTTGTCATTTCAGCTGAGGATGATGTAGAGAGGAAGAGGTCCCAGGAGATGAAACAGAAGGCAATCCTAGAGAAATTTCAAACAGCTCCATTTGAGCAAATTGTGGCCAAGATTGATGCAGAAGTAAGAGTTTATTGCCATCTCAAGGAAATCTCCAGTTATCACATTTTATGTAGATAATAATAGTAAAGATAAAAGCTGATGATTCACTAGTGATTTACTTGCTACATGTCGAATAATGCCAGCAAGCTTTAAACATATCTGTTTAAAAGATTCAGTTGCATGAACAAGTGAATTTGTGTTAAGTTTTAATTTATGATAAATATTTATCATTACTATTCTTTTTCACCCCATAATTATTTATCTTATAGTTGTATTTTGTATTGTGAGTTTTAAAAGATGAGCATATAATCCTGGAAAACCAATTGCCACCTTTAAATCTATTTAATAAGAAATATATTTCTTGCATAAATATGATTTTAAAAAACTGGTAATTAAAATACTCTCTGGTGACTTAGATAGCTGACTAGTTTTAACAGTAGTATACCTAAACAATATCACTCATACTGAACATTTCCCATTCTAGTCCATGGTGTTCCAGAACAAGCTGAGTGAGATCCTTACAACAATATCAGATGAAAATAAAGACAATGCTCCTCAACACCAGACAACGGCAGTATTTGATATGCAGTTCCCAGACTTGTATGTGTACTGAGCAACACTTTTATTAACTTACAAATGAAGGAAGTTGCATGTAAACTAAGGAGCGTGTAGGAACAATGTTAATGAATGAATTTATTTATCAAAAGGAAATGTGTGCCAGCTTGTGTGGGGGATGTAAAAAGAAAGAAAATGTGCGGTTCTTATAATGAAAGGTTTGTAGAATACCAGAATGATACTGTGTGTAGTAGAAGACTGAACAATGAACATTACTGTTTTAGAACTATGGATATTGAATAAGAAAAAAGATCCTAGAATGATAAATGTAAAGGTTTTGAAAAGTGATACAGCTACTGATGCTGATTTTTTAGGAAGAAATTAAGTGCAGAAATATCATTCATTAATTTTCTTCTCTGTCTGCCATTGGCAGATGTTTAATTTTCAGATGTGCCTAAAGCTTTCAGGTTATTCATGATATTGGAGACTTTGCTGTTGCCTTATGATCCACTTCACTGTTATCATTACTGTATGTACAGTACAGCACAAATTTATAGAAAGGTTTAAAACATGCTTTTTTTACTGTTTTTTTTTTTTTTTTAATTTGAAGTAAGACATATATACACTTTTCTGTCTTTTCAATTTTGGAATAGTTTGTGGAAGAGTTTGTTACCTGTACAACAGTGGTAATTTGTTCTCTTTAAAATTAATGTTTATTCTTTGGGCATGTATAGATCAATATTGGTTACAAATAAGAGGGGAAATGTCTTTAATGTAATTTTGTTATTGCCTATTATTGTTACTTTGAATAATTGCTTAAAATTATTTGTCTAGGAATTATGAATGATAGAAATCTGGAGGTACTTTTTTCAGTAAAAAAATGCAATAAAACATTATGAGATAACTTAATGAAACGATTTACCATTGCTCACATATTTGTATTTTTTTAGAGCTAGCAGTTCAAAAATTACTTTGGTATCTCTCTCTCACACACTTTCATAAACAAAACATACCCTAAAACAAAGTCTGAAAATCTTCTTTGTGATTTATTTAAGACTCTCAAGTGAAATAACATCAAGGAATGATTTGGACTACAAACATTCATAGTGATTATTACATTTCATACACTTTTTTGGATATCAACAGTAAAAGTGCAAGGAAATTATCACAGTAACATGTATTAAATCAAAACCAGTTCAAAGAATAACGTTGATCTAAGTAAGAAAAGAAAACTGACAGGCGTATTCAAATCGCTAAAATATCCTCCTAACATGTCAACAAAAAATGTCCACTAACAGTCTCTAATAATATCAGAACTAAGACTTAAAATATAAGTGCAACTTAATAAATTCAGCTTAGAAAAAGCTGCCAAAACTGAGATCAAATGAAAAATAAATAATTCAAACTAAACACCAAATATATACACATATTGCACCAACCCCAATTTAAATCACATCGTTAAAAACATTTTTCTAGGGCCTGCATGGCACTCACAAAGTTATCTTAAAAATTGGAATTGTCAAAGCTTTATGGCCGAAACTAAATAGTGGGAGCAGAAGCATCAAATATCTTCTGCAATAATAGTAGAGCAATTCAATCATATTCCACTCTAAAATGGATGTGGCAAACAATTTTGTAATCCAGATATAATCCTAAAATGTATTTCAAAATCATAATTTAGTTTTTTCAATACAACAATGAAGAAAGGTACATAGCTATTTCCATAAATGAATGTATGTATCATATGAGATGGGAGAAACAAATCTGAACAGCAAATCTGACAAATGTACAGAGAGACAGAAGAGCACTGAAAATTTATACGATAAAAAGATGTGATACCTTCTGTCAAAGGTTTTGAGAAAGTCTACAAAAAATTAAATGCTACAGCAATGTTTTGGTCTGATGATATATTTGTGAAAAGTGCATACATATTACAAAATTCCATATAAGGGAACAGATATGTTACTTAATTCAATAAGGGAAAACATAGAATGGGTTAAAGCCAACTTCAACAGCTATTTTGAAGCAAGAATTAATGTTTTGCTAGATGGAGGCAAAAGGTCACAACAACACGTATTGACTTGAGTAATAAGTCCACATGCAGCAAAGGTTATAATTATGTGTGAAATGATAAAAAGGACCAAAAAGATCTGAGTATTATACTTGACAATTTAAGAACACAGTAATCAACACAATGCATATGTAAGTAATAGGTGCCCTGGGTTTCCATTTGCATCCACATAACTAAGTACCCTGCCCTTTTGCAACAAAATGGCTTCAAGACTGTAGTTTGACTGATACGGATTTGGTCCATAGCAAACTCTCACTTGTGGGCATTCTGAAATATGGCTGTGAATTTGGTAACATTAAACCTAGCATGTACCATACATCATGAGGATCCAGATTCAAACAAAACTGAAGCCTTGTTCACATTGCAGATAGATCAACCCTCATTTCTACATACTGCCATTTAATGCTTTCAAATTATGTTTAACCAATGAGATGGAATAGTCTCCTTTCCATACTAGAAGACAGTGAGAAGTACTCCCTTTCAAATTCCTAACATGTTTTGAGACAATGTAAACCTCATTTGAAATAGAGTTGTTGACATTCGCTATGTAGGTTTTTAAACTTTGCATGCAAATAGAACAGGTGTAGGTACAAATGCGTTTAAATCATTTTTGCTTATAGATATTATTTCTGGAATAATCATAATAGATATTATTCTTAAACTAATATCTATGATGAATTCAAAAAGTCAATAAAAATCAAATAAATAGATAAATATGAAGTATATGCCCAAAATACCCATCTTAATTTTTTAAATAAATATCAATCACTGAGAAAAGATAAAGGTACATTGTAATTATTGTATACAATAAAGAAAGCATAATCCACACTATGGATATCGGAGGGTTTTAACTAATACACATTTTCATTATATTTTTGCATATTACATTTATCAGTTACATTACTTTCATATAAGTATCACTGTCAGGTGTCAGCTAGCAGGTCTAGTACAATTTTTCACAAAATCGATAAATCTACCAAAAAATAAAGAGATTCTACTTTTTATCACTCAAAAGAAAATAAACTGTGGCAAAAGATGTCATGTGACAGCAATGGCCTATTTAGCGCCATATTTTAAAATGGTGTCAACTCGGCACAGACTGCTTATTTCTTGCTTATTTCACAGACTGCTTATTTCTGCCCAGATACCAGCAGAGGAGACTTGTGCTGCCACCTAGGCCCTAAAACCAGCATTTTAGTCATGATATTCTCAAACTTTTTCCTCACTTCATCCTCTGTAAATACCATAATCAACCAGAAGACAGGCAGCTTGGCAATTTTAATGTAAATCTGAAGATGAATCACTGTTAATTGTTTGCATCTAAGCACCAAACATCTTCTTGACTGTATAGCCAGGCATGGCATAAAAGAACAAGACTAGAAGGGCCACTAGTAGCGTGAAGACCAATATTTTTATAATGAGCCACTTGTACGTGTTGCACAGGATATAGCGGATTGACTTGAGTGGGTTCAGAAACCAGATAAAGCTGGTGTCTGGGCGTCTGAAAAACAAAAAAAAAAGTGCTCAGTTTTGTGTGATACCATACCGTGTATAACATTAACAGACATCAAAACTTTTTAAAACAGTATTTACCTTCACTTGTTACTTGTTGACATTAAACTTGTGAGCGGATAAAACTGTCAGTTTTTAACTTTTGAGAAAGTTATTTTCACATTTTCAAATCTGACAGAATTTTGACAAATGTTTTAAAATTTAATGAAATGTCTTTTCACATGCTTAAAAAATACAATTCTTTCTGCAAGCTTCAAAGTACAAAGAGATCTACTGTGATGTAATATCCTAGAAATATCCTTAGTAGAAAATGCACAACCATACATCCCACTAACCAAGCTCATCTTATGATTTCATATACTACAATAATCTGAAAGAAACATTTAGTAAGAAAAAGACATATAAGGGAAATCTCCCTTTTTTCATTGCCTGGTAACTGAAAGAAACAAATGAAGAAAATGACTATAATTATTTAATAATCTAAAAATGTGCAAAACAAGGTCAAAAACATGCATAAGAAAAAATAAAATAAAACAATGAACGGCTGAATGAAGTGAAATTCCCTAGATCAATATTCACATCGAGGATCATGAGTGATAGTCAGGAGTCGTACACAAAATTAATCAAGATGCTTACATGGTAGGGATAAATATGGAATTTGGTATATAAATAAGAAAGCGTAAGTAGGAAATCAAGATAAACTGAAGTATAGTATCAACTACTGTTGAAAAAATTTGTAACAGCATCTGCATTCCTATTAACACATAACCTGTTTTAAAATTAACTAAAATTAAGCCTAAGTGAGATAAAAATTCGGTTGTTAGTGATAAAATAGACAGGGCTGGCACATGCAAATAACATTTAGCAGTATACAGTTGATTTGATACTGTGTGGTCTCAGAATTAAATTGGTGCTTCATTTTTTGAAAGACTGCTTTTGAGACTTTAAACATTATTGCTATGATTTCAACTCCATGAAAATCTTATTTAAATGCTATTTTATGTTTTTCAATAAAATTAATTTAATTTTTTTATTTTTAAACTCAGGCTTGATTTGCACCAATTCAATATCTTAGAATACAAGATAATCATGGCGTTTCAAAACCAAAATTAAAAAAAAACAACTTTAAGGTAGGGAAGTGCAATTCAAACCAAGTGCATATCTACACCTTCAAATTCATTCTAATTTATTCAAAAAATAGATCTAAACTTAAACATTTGAAGCTCTGAGCTGAGTAAAAAGTTAGTACAAAGCTGTGGATGGGCTTCACTTTAATAAACATTTTTAACCTAAACATTTTTCATAACATGTATATTTGCAAGATAAGTCTTTTAGGTATTTAAATTCTTTGAAAACAGTTTTACAATTTTGCAATACAAAACGTAAATATTTTGACTTTTGAAGACTAACAGGCTTTCGATGAATGGTTTTACTTTTCCATGTCACTTCTCTACCTTCATAAAAAAAATATCGAAAGATCAATCTTATTTCAAAATCAAGAATTAAAACTGAGGGGTTTGTATACAAAGTTACCTAGAAAGTCACAACAACTACAACTATGTCCAGCTAGGCTCCCATGATCTTCTTGACGGTGTAGCCAGGAGCATTGTAGAAGAAGAGGGCAAGGAACAGGATGAGGAGGACAAGAATGGTGAGTTTTATGATAATCCACTTAAACTGGACACAGACGAGATATTTGAGAGATTTCAGGGGATTCATAAACCACATGAAGGATGTATCAGGGCGGCTAAAATAAAAAAAAAACATCAAAAATAGGTTAGGTTGGAGTACTGGTTTTGAAATATCAAACTGTCCATTGGATAATGGCTATTTTGTTTTAATTTTTGTTGTTATTAGTTAATTTTCAATGTAAGTACCTATCCTTGCTTAATACATTCTACATGTAAAACCACACTAGGAATATTTTCTCTCCAGGCACTGCTGTATGCATTCTTCCACACTGTTGTCTTGTTGGAGCAGGCTATTAAAACAGCCTTGGGTGTACATACAGAAATTTTCACTAATATACCAAAAGAGCAGTATTCTTCATTCAAACTTTAAGCCTTGGTGATATAAGAACATTAAAGAAGAGCAGGTATTGCTGATGGTATGAGTACTAAGCAGTGTTCAAGTTTAAAGACACATTCTTACCTGGAGGTGTGAGTAATAGGCACATTAGTCCATACTCTTATTAAGTAGACCACGGAAAATAATTTCAAAAACAACAATGCCTTAATGAGTAAAATGGCCAACAGAAGAACAATTGGAATGAAACTTACTTTGGTTTTTCTAGAGGATCTGGTTCACTTCTGCCTAGACCAGCTGGATGCTTCTCTGCCTCTTCTGCTGTTATTAGGTGCAACTCAGCTTCTACCTTCCCCTTTGATATGAAAAAAAATCAATCATGAAGTAGCTAGAGGCAAAAAAGTGTTCAATAGGAGAATAAAAAATTTTAATTCAAAGTGGATATTTTTGTATTATTTGCTCTCTTTTGAAAGGGGGACTGGCATTCATCAAATCTAGTGCATGTATTAAGTGTTGGCCCTTTATATAGCAAAAATCACATTTTTCTAGAAATTTCAACATTTTCCCTTCATCAACAAGGAATACCATGTCCAAAACAAAATCACTATCTGTGTACTGATATAAAATGATTATTGAGTTCAAAGTTTTTTTTTTTTTATTTTTGAGCCAATCTTGTAATGGAGATGGAGATAGAGACTGGTAACTTACACTCGTAATAGAACAAATTTGAAATTTAGAGTTTTTAAATAGATTTATAGATTGTAATTTTCTCAACTATTTTAAATATACATATAGGATATCCCTTAGATTAAAAGGGACAACTGCTGAAATTTCCATGAACTTATTTGGCATACAAAGGTCTCAGATGCATTGTAAGCCTTTCATTCTTTTTCATAACAAACATACTGTTATCTCTAGATCATCATTCTCAGCTGACTTAGCAGTGAATGGCCACCAGCCTTTGACTCTCTTGTGCTTGAAAATAGACATATGAGGGGCATCTGGCTTCAGCATGTCCAGCGTGCACTGTTTGGCAGATTTGGCACCTCGAGGGAAGTGGTTAAGGTCCAAAGTCAGGGAACCTGAATTATACATGGCCCACCATGGATTACAGTTATCTCATGATTCATAACTTAGACATTTCCTTATTTGCTGTAATTTTATCTTAAGAGCAAAAAAGTTTATGAGTATTTACTAACATGCAATTCTCTACTGCATCTGGCTTTTATGCTTGGAATTATCATGCAGTGATGTATAGACTGACAATATTTAGTGTATGGTATAATGCAATAGTTTCCATTTACCTAAGAAATCATCAGCAGAAAAATGATCAGCATCCCACACTTGCAGTTCTAGCCGTGCTGGGATCTTTGTCTCCGTCTCATCCCAGGAGAACATGGTTTCTTTACGAGATATCACAATCTTCTCCTCAGCCATCAAGTAATCAAATGGGAAGATAAACCTCCAGTTAAAGTTGCCCTCTCCTGTCAGAGATCTGGGAAAATACATCACTGATAATTACATCTAATATCTTTGCTCTTTATAACCTATTTTACTTGTTTCAATTCTTGAAAAAACATAATCACAATTTCACACTATTAAAAACCTTAAATCAATAAATAAAATTATTCAAAGATAGTGCTTTCTTTTAAGTGCAAGGATTTTATATGTAAATGTTAAAAAAATAAAAAAATTATATTAAAAACATAAATTCAAGACTCAAATATTACCTGTAATGTATATCTGTAGACTGGTTGTCATCTGGTCCCTTGAACCAGCCTTTTACATAGATGTCACTCATCTTCTCCCCAGTGAAAAAATCATCATCTTCCATCACAACTTCATCTGTGTTCCAAATTATGCAGCGTAATTCATAACTGAAATAAAATAACATCCAGAAGAAAAATAATATATATCAGTGAAAAATTTATTTCATCGTAACTTACACAGAGACAATCTCTTAAAACTAAACAGATAATTTAAGTAAAAGCAAAATCAATTTCCCTAAACAGGCCCTAAACAGAGCAGGAAGTTTGGGAGGCTGAATGAACCACCTTTTTTGCCAGGAATAACTCTGCTCTAAGTCAAATTTATCTACCTTCTATGCCATTTTTCAAGTTGGGTCAGAATCAGAAAAGGTCTAATCTTTCAGAAAAGACCCCCTCCCTTTCAAATTGATGGTTACAGGCCTGGCTAACACTAAAATGAATATCATGAAAGCTCGAATTTAGAGACACACAACCATTTCATGATATATACGAGTTTACCTTTTTGGCTTCCTAGGTGACACATCAACAGGTGGGCCAGGTGCAGGCATATCCATGGGGAACAGATCCACCCATAATTCTATTTTACCCTTAAAAAAAATATTTATTTAAACAATGAATACAATTGAGACATGTTACTATACTTTCATAACTACTAATAGTTGGCTGATTTGTATGTCAGGTGGCTTAGTGGTAGACTTCTGCACAAATGGATTATCATTTCAGATAAATACTCCTATCTTCATCCCCATACCTGTTCAATTCCTGGTTTCTCAGGGTTAAACAGCGCCCTGGTTTCTACATGTTCTGGTACCAGCTTACAACCAGATGGTATCTCCTCCCAGTGGTGGAGCACTGCCAGGGCCAGGTGTTCATCTACGTTTTTGTTCTTCTTTCCTGTTGATTTTTCATTTTAAACATAGCATGACCATATTTAAGTTCATAAAAGAAATAAATAAAAGTTAAATTAAAAAAAAAGGCTGCAATTGCTTTAGACAGATTCTGAAAAGGCATTTGCATAGTAAGTCCCTTGCATGTTAAACAGACCTTTAACTGAAATTCCATTTATCTTAATGTTTCTTAAGCAAGAAGATAAACTTTGATTTCACACTTACCCGCATCTACATCTGGTGGTACACTGAACACTCTGTTGGCCACCTTTACCTTGCCATACGTGTAGTGAGGACCATCGATTTTGTTGTCCTTGCATAGTTTAGCCAGGATCTGGGTGGGTTTCATAGAGTCACGCCAAGCATTGTACCCTTCTCTGAAATACAAATCAATATGTGCTGAATAACACTGTTAGTCATATTAATTATGGGCATAAAAACACAACAGTGGTGCCTTAATAACTGACAAACTTAGTCTTTTCTAAAAAAAACATTGAAATTGGAGAATTAATTTCAACTTGTGCAATGTAAGTGTTTATGAGATAATTCTAGGAAAAATAGCCTTTTGCATGATCACATGAGTATATCATATTAAGCAATAAGAGATATACAAAATAGCACATTCAGGGCACTTGATGCCAATGTGTACTCACACTTCATATGTTTTGTGAAGTCCAACAGTGGCCCTGTGCCTGCTGTAATAGCGGTTCTCCAGATCTATTTTGGTTTCTCCAATCAGATCATCTGCTCCAACCAAATCCCAGTCATAGACTTGTACAGTGAGAATAGATTCCATTGGAAATGTGGCCTCAATATCAAATCCCCTGAAATATAATATAACACATAATCCCTATAATAATCAATTAGTTACTACATATAATGGACCTGTCACAAAAACGTTATAAAAGCAAAATGATCATTTCACTATGCTGTAATATCATTTTAGTTATCTCCTCCTACATTACAGACACCTGTTGCTTACTTCCCAAACACTGGATTCAGCTGTTTGGAGACATAGTGTTCTTTGTCATTGATAACAGTTTTTCCACATCTGATAAGCAAGTATGGATCAGCCTTCCCATTGATGTCCATTGGATGCAGATCTGTTGCCTAAAATATGAAATGTATTCATAATGGAGTTAGAAACTGGTGAATTTCACTCATCACAATAAAAATTAGAATTTTTAAGAACCAAAAATGAATTTCTAGGAATTAAGGCAAATTGTTGAAATTTCAAGAAAAATTTTTGCTGTGTTAAGTTTGTACACTTTTAAATGTTTCAAATTTGGACTGAATCCTTGCATTTAACTTTCACGACAATTCTGTAAAATAATACTGAAATACCAGATACATATTTTTGCTTATACTTTGACCCATATCAGGTCTTCCCAGTAACCCACCTTAACAACATACACCCTGATCCTGACATGTATGGGATCATTACTGGGAACACCTTGGAATAATCCAAGGGAAGGATCACCTCCATTAAAGGTACTATCTTCTATATCTGGAGGAAGGGGTATCTTGTAGATCTTCAGTGAACCCTGAAGACAAAATTGGGGTTAAATGAACTGACTGCAATTGACCTTTTATGACCATTTCATAATTCCACCAACTGGCATTGTTGCCCATTCTACTTGTAATTAACAACTATTAAAAACTACTATTGGTGAATTTCAAAATATGCAAACACTGAGAGATACTGACAATCGATATTTACTTTACCCTACTATACTTTATTTTGATACAAAATAAATACAAGTGCTTATGTACATTTTTAATATATGCAAATAAAAAGCCTGTGTTTAGCGTGGTAAACTTTTTCCTGAATTTCGATTTTCATTGAAACAAGAGTTTCTCAAAGGATATTTCCAATGCGATTCCACAAGAAACAAAAAGAGGGTCAATTTCTACACTATTACTACTCTGCCATCTGATGGCCACAGTTCTACAGTTTATCCTCATTGCTCCATGCACCTACCTTAAAGGTGCCAACCACCCTGCTCTCATCATCAGCATCATCCCCAGTCTTCTTGCCTCTGTACAGCTCAAAGGTGTGGAGCCAGTCAGTAAAGCCGCTGAACTCGGGAACAGCTTCCAGCTCACATGGATAAATCTGAATTTAGTTAAATACATTATTATAGCTATTATGAATCATTTTAGATTGATGACTTTCAGTGTCCTTGTTAAACACTTTATAACATTCAGAATATACCAGTTCTTCAGATAGTATTACCTTTTATCATGCAGTGTATTGATATTAAAACAACATAGACAAATGGCAAAACTTAAAACATATATCATAATAACAACAATATTTCTGAGTCAAAGCATTTTTGCTTCAAATATCTAAATATTACAAAACCATACATTTTGTATAATTTAGTACTTTTCAAAATTTCACACCAAATAAAAAATGCCACATTTCAATGAGTTAGCATTTTTCAATGTTAACAAAGCATTTGTAAGCATTATATAACCAACTTTTCTCAGCGCTGCTTTTACAGTTTTTTTACTCTTTGCACTATGTACCACTTCTTTGACTTGTGGACACCTTATTTGCAAAACATGTGCTTTAACCAGGCTACCCTGGGGACTAATGAGCTAAAGTGCCATTACCAGAGATCATAAATTATAAACCCTTTCAACTACAGCCTTACAGCCTAGGTACCCTATACCACTTACCAGACCACTCCTTCACCCCAGAAAAATATGAACACAATACACAATTTTTCCATAGATAGACCAATTACTACATATACAAAAATTACAGAAGCTTTCAGTGATTTTTTCCATGAAATAGAATGGCATTTTTGACCACCAATAGACTATATGCTACAAGTATGATGTCAAAATCTGTGCACCAATCAAAGTGATATCCCTTTCATATGTCATATTATTTATAAGGGCAGATTAAATCTTGTCTGATATATATGTTTCAAATGACTTCATATTGTTTACTATTTTACACTAGTCTTCAATTTCCAACCACCTTGAGAGTCACATAGCAAGTATACAACCAAATGTACATTGATTTAAGTGTGAAAGCTCTGCTATCAAGCTACTGCAGTGCAGTGTGTAGATTAATTATATCAAAGTTGAAAAAGCCCAAATCATTCATCAATCATTTCACCATCAATCATTTGAAAAATAAATCAGTTTTCCCAAACCCAAGCCAAATCTCACACCATGTATCATTACCACAATTTTTTGTATTTTAGCCAGCCGTTTGGCACGGTCTGACTCAAAATCATCTCCTTCAAGGTCACTGTCACTGTCCCTATTAAATGCTTTGTTTATAAAACCCTGAATTGAGAATTGGGGCAATATAAATAAACATTATTAGTCCAAAATGTAAATGATTAAGTATTTACAATATACAGTATTACTATGTATGTCAATAGATAATGAGGGAAATATGTCAAAAAGGAACATACAAATTGACTAAATGTATACTCACTAGGCACTAGAGCAAAAATAAACAATAAAAAATATAAAGGTTATATGTATATTGAAAAAGAGCATACATATAAAAGTTATATGTATTCTCTTTTTCAATATGCCTATAACATCAAACTAATGAACTAATAAAGTATACAATGATTACAGTGAACCTTACCTTGAGCTGGGCAGTGGAAGGTGCATATTTTGATTTTTTCCTCTGTGTTTTTGGTGACAGTTTATCTGTTAAAGTAACCGCCTTTACAGCTCCTTTGAAAGTAGTTAGCTTGGATTTTTCCTTGTCACTGCCAGCTTGCTCTTTCTCTATTTTGTGCAATTCCTTCTCCATTTTTTTGGCTTCTTTTGCATTATAGCCAGGATCTGTAACATTCATATTTCACAACTTTCATAAAAATAAAACACAAAATAAAAATATCTGCTTGATTAAAGCCTATAAACTGAAAAGCATTCCTTTAATTTCAATAAAAATGCACCGTGCAAAAGGTAAGTGAAATTTAAGTTGTTTCATGTACTCCAGATAGACAGACAGACAACTTTTTTGTGGCCTTAGCACTGACCTAAGAGGTCAAAGTTATTTGCAAGTGTCCTTTACCTTCAGCATTTCCATTGGGTATGGCACCATATCCCCCAGCATTTGTGTCTGATATAACATTCTCTTGTTGAGCTCCAACACCACCAACTAACCCAAACCTCCCTCTCTTTCTTTGTTTTTCATGTTCCTGAAAGAAAAAATCATTAATTTATAAATCAGGCACTGAAACATTGTATGTATGTATATATATATGCAGCACTTGTCTCATTATAGTTTATATTGTTTTATGGCAATGGAATGAGTGTTTTGGGCCATTTTATCATTATCCTGAATAATCATTGGTTTCATGAAAAAATTACCACATACTGTACCTGGAAAGAAAATTGAGTATTTCTTGTATAATTAATTCAAAGAATGGATTCACACTGACAATTACGTGTAAGGATCAAATGCAATGATCCAAAATACATTTCACATAGATAGTTAGTAGATACATCAGATTAAGGCATATTTATGATAACTGATATATATATGTACCAATAAATTTTGCAATCAGAGGAGAATATATATATATATATATATATATATATATATATATATATATATATATATATATATATATTCATTCTCCTCATGTTACAATTTGTCAACCACACTTCATTGAAATAACATGCCAGGTTACAGAAATAGAAAATTCTGTTAGTTGACAGAAAAAAAGTTAGCAGATTTCATTTCAATAGCAATGCTACAATTCCTGTGTTGTAAAAAGGATGTTTCCATGCAAAGATCACCAGAGCTTCATGCCATATGCAATGTCATGACCAGTCATGTTATGTAATGCCTTGTCATGCCCTGTGTCATGCTGTATATCAGTATATCCACTTGACAGAATTTTTTATTTTACAATACCCAGTAATTCTTCACGTCATATTATTTACAGAAGCAAACTCTGGTATACTGGTAGCTGTTGTCCAATAGAAAATAAAAATAGAAAAGGAACTGTACATAATGATATTTCATGTAATTCCAAGAAGATTGCTTATCCCCTAAAGTATAATTCATATATCACTATGTAAAGGTCCACAGCTATATATTAGGTGACTGGTTTATACAATTGAAGCATGGTATCAGGCAAAACACTTTTCATAAAAGCAACCTCATCTTTTGCAATTAATAAAAGTGTAACATACTTTTTAACAATTAGACAGCTGAAAGGTCTAAATCAATGTGTGAATATACATTAATTGTAACATGCTCTGTGTTTTTCTTTCATATCTTTTTGGAAGGTTTCATTTTTACTATTGATTATTTATACTACAATGTTTGGCATAACATTTTTCTTAAGCTGTATTTTTAAAATTACAAGGTTAAATCTAGTTTGTCTACTACCAATCAGAAATTTAAGAACCACATGGACCTAATGAGAGAAGGACGTGAAACGCACAGCAAGATCAAAGGATAATCGGCTTAACGTGAGCTCTTCGTGAAACCATGTGCATTCGGATCACGCTGCCTTCCGTACAGGTAGCGAGCATATCGCAGTTGTCGATGACTTTTTGTGTCATTTGGGCAGGTAGTTCGCAATAACCTGAGTCAATCTTTCAGGTGGATGAGACAATAAAATTATAGAGATTAAGTATAAGTACAATTTGTTCTGTCAATTTGGAAACTATGTGAGAATTTGATATGTTTATTCATGGAGGAATTCAAAATGCCGTATGCGGTAAAGGCAATCTTGTTTGTTGCCGTAAAATGAGCATTCAAAATTGTACAATTGTAGTGTAGTATACTTGTTTTCAGCTATGATCCGATTGGAAAATATTTTCAGTGTCAAACTTTTCTCTCTTTGTGTGAAATTAGCCCGAGACGCGGCAATTATGAAACCCTCAACCGTGTCTTGAATTAAAATGACGCAATTCCTCTCCGATTTATTCAACTCGCTGACATCATTTTAGGTCTGGTATTTTTTACGTTCGGTTTAGATAAAGGTGGCATTTACACTGCTGTGTACAATATGAATAGGTTTATGTTACTTGCTTAAGTGAGCCCAAATTATGTAATGATAATTAATATTTTTAACTTTCAATATGGGCTCTCGTTGCAATAGGGTACCACACACGCATTCGTGACCCACAAAAACGCACCTGTGGGTCTTTTAATATTCTTTTATCAAAGTTTACATTAACACTGCTCTGAAGTATATATATATTTACACATTACCGGCTATGATCTGCTCCAGTCTGAGAATGATAATAATTATTTTTTCAACTTTCCATATGGACTCTCATTGCAATATGGCACCACACATGCATTCGTTACGCACAAAAACGCACTTGTGGGCCTTTTAATATTCTTTTATCAAAGTTGATATTAACACTGCTCTGAAGTATATATATATTTACACATTACCGGCTACGGTCTGCTCCACTTTGAGAATGATAATTAATAGTTTTTCATCTTTAAATTAGAGTCCCTAAACAGCAAAGAGACGATTGACAAACACCCTAAATTGGTCTTTTAATTCAAGTATAACTGTGGACATGTACACATGCAAACTTCATGAATATATTTACTTGGGTAATGGTCATAAAAGTGGATCTGGATCACATCTGTGATTTAAGTCTCACCTCTGTATAATTGGCTTGCTACATTGCATTATCGTGTTATCAGATGCGTTTGGATAGCACCTACCTGGCTTTATTAGACAACATGCTTTTAAACCAGTTATATATCAGTTCGACATATATCAATACAATCTTGGAAACGATAACAAATATAGACAAATGCCAGAGCCCGTTTTAATTAGATAACAGGAAAAAGAAACTGAAAACCCGAAACAAATTTCCACTTGTTGACGCAAGTTTATGTGCTAGCAATTACAAGATAGACAATGCTGTATCATAGCAACCACGAGGGACCGCGAGAAATTGCGTTATCCATGCAATAGAACACAAGAATTTCAATGAGGCACAGCGCGCGCTACCTTGATAATAAGTTGTTCAGGCTCCCGTGGAGCTATCAAAACAGCTTATCTGAGACAATGGGCGAATGTTTACCCGAACGCACATAGCTTCAAAGGAAGATGCCGTGTTTCATGTCCTTCTCTCATTAGGTCCATGATAACCATTATTACTCAAAAAAGATAAATTAATCATACTTTGAACTGAAATTTGAACTGTTTTATAACAAACCACACTTTATTATAACCAAAGGAATAAGCTGACTTTTCTGAAAAATAAAATGTCATGAAACAAAAATAAATCCAAAAAATGCAGGCAGAACAATGATCCTTGGGTAAGCATTGGGTACCTTCACTTCTGCATCACTGTCATCATCATTCCTTTCAATTTCCATTTCCATTTCCTAAAAATTAAAAAATACCTTCCAAGCTCACTTATGAGTCATCTAGACCTTATTCTACAAGGAAAAAACACCAAAAGAACCATTTGTATCCATCTAGCCATATTGTCAGTTAAGTCAAGGCAGTGAGAAAAATGCCCATATATTCACATCAAATTTTAAAAATCTACTTTCAAAATTCTAATTTCCATCAAGATTACTATGATAAAAATAATGAGTTAAAACACATACATCCAAACAACATTACAGCAAAAGCTCTGATCAACATTTCTCTTGAAATCCTTTTTAAAACATTTTCATGCCTTTTAACTTTAAAAAGAACATCCCCTTTTTGTCACTGCTCATTTCCTGTCAAACTAGATTTTGATGTTGAAACATTTCAACTATTCATGTAGGGATATATAAGCAAGGTTGGGTAACTCAATATATACTAAACCCCACGGCCTTTAAATGCTGTAATATTGCATCCATGACCCAAAATCTAAAAAACAACAAAACACTAATAATAATATAACAGCAAAAATGTTATGAAGAAAAGTATTATCTCTAACCCAATTGTAAAGATCTCCTTCAGGAAATAAAGTGTTTATTACATGCAGTTTGTAAAGAACTTTAAATCAACAGCAAATGTAACAAAAAAAGTAACTTTCATTTTCATATAAAAAGAACAGCTAGTAGCTAGACCATTTGAACCAAAGGAGATTTTCTGACTGAAATTCAGAAAGCTTAGCATGCATGTATCCCTGTCTGCATAATACCTGATCGTCCTCTTGTCTGCCAAAACCCTAAGTGATCACATTGCAACTGTTAGCATAATGTGAATGCATAGTGCTAATACAACAGCTATACACAAAAGTTAACAAATATGATACATTTCATACTAAACAGAGTGCAGTACTGTACTTACTGTACTGTACTATACTTTTTTTTTTTTGCTTTTTAAACTGCTAAACATGCATTTAGCAAAAATGCTTGTTATTTGAACATAGTTATGAAAATAGTCTGGCAGGTGCAAAAAGTGAAGTTGTGGCTACACTGATTGAAGAAAAGTACAGTACACACTGTACACCAAAAATAGTTCAACTAAAAATCATCTTTATTGCAATATTATAACAGTTTACTATGTTATGTAACAAAAAATGTACTGACACATACAGTGGTAATATATTTCATACGGACTATATAAATTTCTTCTCTCAAAGTTCTCATTAAGCTGTCATCAAAGACAAACAAAACTGGGTCCTATTTCTAAAAACATTGTTCAGTTTTGTTCACAATATGATCTGTGGACAACTGCCAGTCATAAATGTGACAAACTGGGCCTGCCCACCTTCTTTCAGCAGTGCTGCCATCTAGCTATCAAAGAAAATATTAAATGAATTTTTTGTTTACCATTATCATCATCTCCACTGAGGCAAAGTACTTGCTCCACCAGTCTAATGTGTCTGTATCCAGGTCATCCTCGTCAGCAGTGCTGCCCTTCCTTTTCTTGTTCTCCTCAGTCTTGTCTGCTTTACCCTGACAAAATGTATCATACATGCAAATTATTTTTAAAAATCTGATTTTGACAGCAGGGACAGGAACTACCAGTATATTGGCGAAAAAAGACTCCATTTTCATGACGTCCAATAAAACACTATTTCATTCATTTCATTGAATTAACTCCTTATTTTTTCCATTATGCCCAATGTGTCAATTCAATATTTCCTTAATTTATAGAAAGAAAAATAAATCATAGTATGTTTCCTGGATAAGGTTGAGTCATTTAGTCTCTGAGCATGTGCATCAAAAATCTAATTCAGCTGTTATAAAGTACCCCGGTATATTGTTATATTGTAATACTCTGGTAATCATCTAATGTGACCTACCTGCTCTATGCTAATGATGGTTTCTCCTTTGTTAGAACCAATAAGAGGAAAATTCTCATCAATAGTCACAGCCACATCAGTGGTCCTGACAGAAGTGACCCCTGGCTGAACGTGACTGACCACAAGTGAGGGCCGTGTTGGGGGTGCCTGAGTGACACCAGGGGGTGTGGCGCCAAGCTGAGGGGTACCCAGGGGTGGCATCTGAGGGGTGCCTGGTGCTGGAGGTGGTTTGCTGCTGTCTGTTACTATGAAATTGGAATATAATTTTCATACAAAGTACAGATTTTTCATATATTATAATACGTGGACTATATGCTGACTATGACACATCTAACAAACTAGAACAAAAATTAACATGCTATTACGTAACATATATATATAACATATATATATAAAGAAATGTCCTTGTACTTTTAATGAAGCCTGAATTGACATGATCCTTTTTGGTCTGGACCTGACTATTTCTCTTTATGTTAATGTGTTTCATGTAAATAAATATTTCATTAATTTGAGAAAAATCAATTAAAATTGACTTCAACTTCTTCCAACTATTTGTGTTAAATAATATGCCATGTATATGTGAGACATCCTTACTTACACTGCAAAAGCTTTGAGGCAGCCTCCCTTGCTGCTTTAGTGGTTGGTGTGTACATGAACTTCTGCAGGGAGTTGATGACATGAGTTCCAACGAGTACAAATCTGCCAAAGTTCCTACAGTCCACACACCTTATTGTGATTGGTGGGCAGTACAGATGGTTGTCAGGCAATTCCTGAAAGGGAAATATCAATTTGCATATTTATACGGTGATTTAAGATTTGTATTTTGAGATATTATTTATCTAAATTCTTATTATCAATATCTTATATATAAAAAATTACTTTCACTGATTTTCTCACTCCCCTTGAGTTTTCAAAAATAAACTTTAGCCAATTTTAATTAAAATTTAAAATCTTTACAATAATACTGGTAAATGCATGTGTATTACTTTAATGGTGAAAAGCATGACAAAAAAATCAAAATGTAACACCCCAAAATAAATAATCTTTCAAATTTGTAATTATAGAAGACTGTCAACTTACCAGGTCCATGTGTTTGACAACTGTGCTAAAATTAGGATTCTTCCTCATATTGGTAATCATAGTGGACTGCAGGACATGTCCAGCACACTCTATGTCCACCCTAGGTCTGTCCACTGAGGTCAACTGGACTCTTTTTAAGTCCCGCACTCCCCAGAACAAAACCTTCAGAGTGAAAGTGAAATAGATTTTTTCATCAAAGTTGAAATAATGAATATCAATGTAAAATATAATATCTGTGTAAACTAAGTGAGGGATTCACAAATATAATTTGTATGAAAAACCACTTAGGGTCCCTCTTGAGCACTTCCCAAGCAAGTGGTAGTGCCTTTTTGACCTGTTAGGTGTCTACATGCAAGCATTTGTTGTTTTTTAGCATAACTTAAGGTCTATCCAACTTCGTAAGTGGAAAATATGTGCTCTGTTAGCTGATATAAATTGAACTGCAGTTCTAGGTGGCTTCAATTTATAGCTCTCAAAAAGTGTCATATTCAAACATTAAAATTGCACCTAAATCAAAAGGTATGAATAGTCAAAAAATGTATATAATACACTTATAGGTAATTATGAATAGTCTGACACTGTACGTCAATAACATAATGCAAACAGTCAAATGATCAATTCTTAGTCTTCTTTATATCAGTAATCTATAGCCATGGGACAATTATCATAAGAAAAATCAAAGCAAAACAATTTCAATGATAGTATGTAAACAAACCTCCACTCTGTATTTGCTCAGGAAGGGGCGTATCCCCTTTGGAACTGGCAGAATTGGCCCCCTGGTGTCAGAACAAGTATCAGGCAGATTGATAGCTGGCAGTTCATCAGCACTCATCTCTCCAAGAGGAGACAACTGAAAAAAGAATAATCATAGTAGACTGTAGGACATGCAATGAAGAAATACTAAAAAGAGGCACTAATTTAATCATTTTTCCTCTTATTTATATGCCGTTTTGCAATGCTATGTTTTAACATCAATAGCCAAAGAGTTAACAAAAGAGAGATTCATACAAGTGCAAATGCTTTTGGTTACAAGGAATAGGAAAGATCTGAGTTTTTCACCAAATAGCAATAGGAGACTGAAATAATTCAACAGGCACTAGGAGCACAAAAATTGTATATAGCGAAAAATTTTAATGATTTTAAATATGATTTTAAATCTTTGAGAAAATTTTTCCTGACATCTGTGGCATCTCATTAGAACATTTACCCTTTTACAAGAATATGCTGGTGCATGTACCCATTTTCAGAGTGAACTAACTATGGCAGGAGAGAACATACAAGTTTTTAGCCATTATTTATATATATGATTCAGAAGTAGAAATTAACATATTTCACTATCAACAATTGACTCAGACACAACTCGGTCAAAAATGATGAACTATATATGATTTACATTCTCATAATGACTGATATGTTAAGGCATGTTTTTAAACTTTTAAAGAATGTTTGGACTGTATGAATATGTGTATAAAGGTGTGTCTGTGTGTGGTAGGTGCACGCATGTGCATGCATATCCATCTGAAAATAATTACATGATTGTGAGTGAGCCTTGACATGTAAATAGCATGCGTATAAGCATGTGACAGTAAATACATGTAGTTATTTCTAAGAGTACTACTTCTATAGTAAATAATTTCTCTACAAGATAAGAAGCAAATATATACAAATATACAGCAAAAGAATCGAGGGTATATAATATCTATATTGGATAAGATTATCCATTTTTCAACATATAATAATATACCTGTGCTATTGTAACATAAAAAACTATACACAGTTCCATTCAATCCTATTTATTTGACAGTCAGGGCTAAACATCATTCAGGAAAAGGTAAACTATCAAGGTCTAAAACATAAATGTCTTAAATGACGCAAAATGTCTGAAACAGAATTTTTTTTTTTTTTTGGCGGCAAACAAATTTCAATCTTTAAGAAAAAGTGCTAAAATTTCAATCATTTTGAAGAAAGAAAAAGTCAATGTGTTACTTTAAACATTTAATAATAATAATAATAATAATAATAATAATAATAATAATAATAATAATAATAATGTAAAATCTGTGTTTTTATTCCCTAACAACTCATAATATTAAGTACAATCTACCCTTATGCAGCAGTATGATATATGAAATTAGCAATGTTACAATACAATTAAAACAAATTATATTAAAACATTGTCAGAAACAATGGAAACAATTAAACTATCCAAAGATCTTTTTTATTTTTCAATTGTGGATCATTACTTATGGAAAAAATCTAACAGACAGCTAGGAGCCACATCTGTTTCAAGCCACTAACTAGGTAGGGTATAAATAATAGCAATAAATATAAATGTAATGCTGAAAATAAAGCACATTTGTCAAAGTTTTCTAAGAATATTAATCAAAAATGAGTGAAATAATAGCACCACAAAAGAATGTGTTAGTCAAATTGGTGAAATATGCAGAATCAGGTTGCACAAATGTAGGTGAGAGATTATAAGAAACTACCCCTCGCTTCCTCTGGTATGGTGGTGTGACTAGCGCCCTCTTTACTTCCATCTCATCAAATGGAAACTAGCAAGATGCATGGTAAATTAATGTATAAAGTTTAAATATCTTTGAATTCAGTCTAAAAGTACATGTGATGCAAATACATGCAATATGCAAGGCACCGTTATATCATATCTCTTACTACTAACAAAAATCAAACTCACAATCACTGCACACATTTTTTGAAAGAAATTCAATTTTTTTCCTGAATTTTTCATGCATACAACACAAACAGTGTCTGTTACTCGCTATTCTCATTCTCTAGTAATAATCTCACAGTAAAATTGTGTTGTCATAAAAAGTTTATTAGTATAATCCAAAAAACAAAACATGAACTTTTAAATTAAGCATATATACATTAAAATACCTGTGCATTTCTATCCCAAGGTCATTCTACTGTGCCTACGTTGATGTTAAAATAGTTAAATCTGCAAAAAAGTATAAGTAGCCATGACCTCAATGCAAATCAATTATTACCTGTAAAAGTTCAAAAGCTGCCAGCAGTTCCCCTGCCACTGTGTGGCCCCTATAGATATCCCACCATTCTAGTTTTGGTGGGAATTTTGGACGCTCATATTTTTCTTCTACTTTCTTAACGATGGGCTTGCACACTGCTCTGCCAATAAATTCTGACTTGCCCTAATGATAAAAATAAGCCATGAAAAGGGAATGTTATGTTCTGGAGCCTAGAAATGAATTAAAAGCATGTTAAACACCCTGAAAATGTCCCTGCTGTAACATGTATTAAAATGGGCAGAGATCTATCAGATATATTTGCAAAAAGTGACACTCCCCTTTAAAAAATGTGCATACCCCAAGGAAAATTAAAAATCAACTGAAGTAGTCATAATAGAAAAATCAATAAAATAAATTCTATGACAGCTCTTGCCAACTTCCCAAAAGGTTCTACCCTCCTTGTCTCATATACTACAAAATTTACATATAGATGTTAACGGTAGCAAAGTTCAACCAACTTTACAAAATTATTCTGACTCAGTAAACAATATCATAATTCTTCCTTACAACTCTATCACTGTCAAATATCTCAATAATCACTGTTGGTGGGTTTTCAGCTATGTCATCTACAGTTCCATGTAAAACAATTTCATTGAAGATCAGCATCTCATCCCATGTTGGGCTCAGTGTCTCATTGATCACCTGGAATGGTGAATTCACATGTGAGTATATTTAACATACGATGCATCAAATTAAAACAAAGGCACTGACTGGACACCAAAAACTGGTCATTGTTGTATGAACCTTTGACAAATAAAACAAATTGTATTAATCATTCAATAGTATTTTGGTTTATATACCGGTGTAATTAATTCATAAACTATTTCAGTGTAATTTTGTAATCAGTTAACATGTTGTCACATGTTTAAAACCAAAATCTTATGTTGCAGGAATATTCTTTCCCATTATCATAAACAAACCTGTGTGCTAGAGCTTTGCTCTTGAAAAATGACCCGTGCAAATGGATCTGACAACCCCGAAGCATCTGAACCAATCAGACTCCTGGCCTGGTACATGTGAGCCCGGAGCTGAAATGTCTGACAAACTGAAAGAAAGGAGATTGCAAGTTGTATTCATTCATTTCATAAAATGCTTAAATAAGGTGGGCATGGTGAAGTATATTTAAATATTTTCACTTTTAAATCAATATCACATTTTCCTTTGGGCACAATTCCATACAAAGCACACAATACTCAAAATGTGCATTATAAAACATTGAGATATTTTTCCAGAAAATATAAGTTGCAATTTAATTCTAATCAGTAGAAAAAGAGGAGTTCACCATATAAATATTCTACATGTACCTGTATAGGTGATAGACAGTGGTGGCTCCTCAGACACCTTTAATGCCTGTGTAATTTCTTCACTTTCCTCATAGCCCTGTGGCAGTCCCATAAGAAGCTCCTTCCTGTGCTTTGCCATTCCAAGCCACAGGTACACATTTAGCTTACACTGAATAGACCACCCTGAGGCACCAGTGGCTCTTTTTCCAGGGAGCTTAAAAAATGAGAAAACTTATTTCTTAAAATAACTGCAAAAACCCACATTCAGTGTGGTTTCCATTAAATGTACTTCAAAAATTCAAGTAGCCATTACATTTTATATTGACAACTCAGGATTTCCAGGGAAACAATGCTTCAATGGAATGGGAGTGTAACACCCAAATAAGCACGATTAGTAGAAGCCTGCATTTGCATTTTTTCTCCAGGCTAAAAAATATGTAATTGACATGGGTATAATCTATCCAAAAGACAGGATTTTTATGCCTTAGGTGTTGAACATTTTGAAGTTTCTTTACCTTCAGATATAACGTGACCACCTTTCCACACAGGTTCCCTCTCTCCTCATCCACCATAGAATGGATGACATCACGCGACGAGATGCGCTGGTAAGCTATACGTTTCTGTCCACACAGCATCCAGACAAAGATATCAGGGAGGCTGTCTTGTGGCTACAAGAGAAGGTCATTATATATAGTATGCTAGCTATAACTGTGGTAGTGTGCTACAACTAAAGAAACATTTCTAAAAGAAAATGGCACAAACTGAACGTGAAATTGAGGAATCAACCCAAAGTTTTGAACAGTTGCCTGCAAGAGAGTGATTCATGGAAAAGCACTTTGCTATAATTCATTATTTCACCATGCAGATACAAGTCACACTAGATAGCTTTTAATCAATGTCCCATACTGATTACATACATTAACATAATTGTCAGTTTGGTCACGATCAATGTGCATCTGTTTTAATTTATGTATTGTATCTATTTCAGTTGGTATACCTCATTAGCTAAATGCTTCAGCTTTGTGACACAGCCTGCTACTGCCTTCAACTTGTCCTTCATGGTATTCTTAGTCACAGTTGCTCTTAACGTACGTGCCAATGTTCCAATTTGGTCCTAATGCACAAACAGACGATAAAAATGTTCTAACATGAATATCTGATTTATAAATTTAAGGGAATAAAAAGAAATCTATTAATTAAAATTTTTTAAAGCCAGTTTGGTTTATCTATACACTGATTTCCTTTTCACACAATTTTATTAACCATTTTCATTCATTTTGATCAATTTTCATATCAATAATTAAATCAATGCTTCCTTCTATTAGCCCCCAAGCAACTAAAACAACTTAAGGCTACATTTCTACACAAAGAAAAAAATTGATTCGTTTTATTGAAAATGTCTCAAACTGTCATCAAATTGTTTTTAACAGCACTTACAATTTCCCTTTGGCACAGTCTTTGTCTCTCTTTGTCCAGTTTAGTCCTCCCTGCTGTGGACCCACTGCTGCCCTTGCACAGTGATACATAGCGGCTACATGCATTTGCAAACTCATCAAATACCCCGCGCAGACGACGCTCTGGAAATGGTATCTCTTTGCTTATCATGTCATTTACCTCTTGCAGGCCATCTTCCTATAATTTGAGAACAGAGGACACGTTTCAAAATATTGATCAAAACCATCATTATTGTATGACATACTACTGGTACACTGCCACTTAACTAAAAAGTGTTCAAGTAAAGAACAGCAATCATATGGCAATATGATATAATGCTATGCAATGTAAGCCACATGTTTGACTTTAATTCTTTCATCTATATTCAAGAGCTTAAAAACTAATAATATTATGTGAAAAATTGAAAAAAAAAATTTTTCCTGATGGTTCCCAACAGCATAGATCTATGGAAAATACCCCCTTGCATCCACTTACAAGTTTTTCTACAATCTTTCTGATCATGTTGGTATTATACAGCCTTCTGCGGTGGTCCTCAAACTTTGCACAGACATATGTACAGGGCTTACTATCATAGTAAGGTAAGTGAAAATACATCCTGTCTCTGCTCTGGGGAATCCTTGGAGTTGTAGTGCTCTGCCACCTACAGAGAAAAAAAATCATAGATTGCAACAGAAAAATCATTTTCTTTATAGCTACATTTCAATGTGATCACACTATTGATATTTTCCCAGGGTTCTGAGCTTAAATCACTATAATTGTTTTTTTCAAACTGTCCATCCTATGTAAAGGAAATCTTTCGATCCCTGTGGAAGTCAAATGCAGCTATCTCATTAAGTAAAGAGAAACAGTTTGCATACCCTCTATACTTACACCTGCCTAGACCCAAAGCACTTACATTGGTTTTTCTTCCTGAGCTGTAGAAGAGAGTACAGAGGCCAGTAGAGACTGTCCCTCTCCCTCATCTCCTGACTCTTCCTCACTGCTGCTGTCACCTCTCCTAGACTTGGCTGATACATTCTGTCCATCCAGACCATTGCCACAGTTACCTGTAATGAAACAGACATGGGAAAGCCCTTCAATTTTATTAGAAAGAGGACAATTTGGCAAGATATGAATTCTCAATATATATCTTTGTAGTTTTGCTTTAATTTTTTTGTATTATCTATGCCATTATCATGATCATCATGATTCATTATCAATACAATTATTTATTGGGAGGAGGTAAAAAGCCATATGTTTAGCCTCAAAGGTAACTGTTCTCTATGACTAATTGCCAAATTTCAGTTTTTCNCATAAAAATTAAAACAAAAATGTAAGCAAAATTAGCCCATCAGAATATTCAAATAATTTTGACCCAAGTACCATTGAGGGAAGTTTCATCCAAAGAAAAATATCCACCAATACAATAGTACCACACTCACCTATAGATAATTCAAAGTGGAGTGGTTTGTCCTCAAATCTCTTATCAATCATTGTTGCATCCATGAAAACACCATAGAGTAGAAAGTCTTCCAATTTTCCAGCTACACTCTTAAAAGATTCAAAATAACAAGCTCAGTTGTTACTGAAAATTACTAGATTTTAACATGTAGGGCACTAATCCATCCAAAATTAATTTAATTTATAATAGTATAGTACTTAATCAGGGGCGGATCCAGAGATATTTTCTGACAGTCTTCCAAATTATCTTTGTGGATCCATCCTCCATTTTTGACCGTCTTCCGACAGAAAAAGATAGATACCCGTCAATATAAACTTGAAAATCTGACCGTCTTCTGGAAGACCCAGAAGACGGCCTAAATCCGCCCCTGTTAATCATACTTATATTTTGTTGGATAGCAAACCTATAAAACAAACTATTTTTGATTGTTTTATCAAAAACATGTATGATAAATATTGTAAATATGATAAAATACAATAAAATATATGGTACAGAGTCCAATTAATGCTGTCTCTCTGTGTACTTACTACTGGTGCCGTCTGCTCCACTTCAACTTTAGTTGGCCCCATGTCTGTCATGTCAATAATCTCTGTTTTGATTGCAATAAGTAGCCTGGCTCTGTATGACACCCCTTCTCCCAGACCCAAGTTTAGAATCTTATGTTCATCTAACAGGCTGAAGTCCCGCGTGGAACCATACAGATTGATCCAAGAGGGGCCATACGTAGGCAAGAAACCTGGGCAAAAGAAAATTAATCAAAATTAGGGCATTGTGACATTTGGTCACCTCACTGATATTTTTCTTTATGGATCAAATATTTATCTAAACTAATCTGGCTTAATTTTTTAAGTAGTTTTTTCAAAGGAAAAAAGTCATTAAAAAGTAGACTATAGCACAAATTAGTGTTCCCAAAACCTCTATATACATGTAATGTCAGCATAACCTAAAAAATTACTTGGGGTTGGCATAACTAAAAGTGGCCTTAATTGGCCAATTACCAATCAACCTATATTATAATAGTGCTTGTCACTTGTCTCTTTAAAGGATTCATGAATTATTTTGGTTGGAGGTGATATAAATAAAATGTACCTTTCTGTCCCTCGTTAGAAATCTCTGAAAGATCGACGAAATGTGTGCCTATGATGTCATCCTGAACACTGTCATTATCACGTAGCTGTATCTGCATCCTGCGACACAGTGGTGGGAACATCTCTGTGAAGACAACCTGTTCATTCCAGACAGGATCATAGCTGCCTTTTTGTACAGAGGTTTTACCCTGAATTGAAATAAAATATAGTTGCTTTTTAGGATGCATTTTGATGATCTTGCTTCCACCCGTTTTCAGAATCCACACCTTACATACTTTGAACATTTATCATCTGATTGTAAATTGTATAGCCTCCTTGCATTAATAGCAAATTTATTATTTTTTTTAAAGAATATGCTACAATGAATGGCATTTACCATGGGCTCCAATTTGCCATATGCTAGTAAAACTGAAACCAAGTCAATGAAATTTGGTACTGGCCATCCAATAAACAAGCAGACAAACAACACTGGTGAGCACTGGTGGATCCCTTATGTGCCACATTAGCATGAAGAGGATAGTCAAGCCATACAATTAACAAGACAACAGGGCAAACAATACAAAGAGTAATCAATATTCACAAACAGAGTTAAATCCCACTTACTTTATGACCTGCAAATGAGACCTGCACATAAGGATCTACCAAGTCCTTGGCTTCCCCTGTGAATGCTTTCTTCACGCTGGCCATCACACCTGTGTTCATCTTCGGCAGGCCTTCAGCCTTGTACACCTTGACTATATACCTAGCTTTCTGCCGCTCTGCAGATACCCCTTCAGGAAGGAGCAGGTTACTGATGGAGAATCACAAAGGGAAAGATTTTATTATTCCAGCTCAAAGATTAACATGTAAGACAGGGAAATTAAGTTTCAATCAAGGCCCATACTATACTTGAATATACACTTACATACATGTATTTGTAAGTGGAATCATAAACAATGAATTATATAGATATGCTTTATTTGTTTTATTCATTTTATCTGTTGTTCCTTGCTTGATGTAGATACATGTGCATAGCATGTGTCCTCTTAAAAAGAACATTAAATTTCACACTGGATTCTTCATCAAAGAAAACGATATTCTCAAAAACTAGTTTAAAATGTTTTGATAAGAATGGTACGCAACAAGCACTGACAATTACAAAACATACATTTTATCCATACTTACGCCTCAATGTCATCTTCATCTGCATCAGACTTAGGAGGAACCTATAAATAAAAAATTCTAATAATTGAGAACAAATTCTTAACAACCCCCAAAGTTTTTTGATCACTATGTAATATCAGCAAAAAATAACTTAAATTGTAACTGATATAAGTTCTCTTGAATTCATGAGCCATAAATGACAGTCTGATAACAAACAGAAATGAAAATGGAAATTGTCAGAAATTACAGAGTAAAACCTAGCTGTTGAATGTTTGAATTGGGTACCTTTACTGAGTCTCCCTTCCCAACTACAGCAATATCACACTTGAGGAAGCCTTTGGCACCACCATTTATATCATCAGGGTCAGTCAACATGGCCCACTTGTGGTAGAACTGGTGGTCTAGTAATGGAAACATCAGCTTAAAGAAACTTCTTTAGGTGGATTCAGGTGCAAACATATACCTATACTAGTTCTTGTTTTAAATGTCAACATAGATACAAACAGTCTTACATGTGGTTACTTTTTAAATAATTTGTTTAATATATAACATTGAATACACACAAATTTACTTTTCATTTCCAAATGCACCACAAAATAGTTCAATGATTCCATAACATTATATGGGCTAGACCTAGACTTTTTTTAAAAACAGAGCACAGATATGTCATTGCAAATAAATATAAATTCATTTTAATATACTTCAAATCCTATAGTTGACAATTAGGGCCATTGTACAAAATGTTAAAAGGGAAAAGAAATCAATTAGTTCTGTATATACATATTTTTTCTACAGTGCTTTTAGTTTAAACCCAATACAACTTCAGTTAATGCAAGAGCACACATTGGTGTTTTTTCCAGACAATGGTTTCTCATTTTGTACAGAAATGCATTTATGCATAATTCATCTCTCCACAAACACTGGTATAAATTGAATGACAAATATCAAAACTACCAATCAATAGACACATTATACCCAAATACACTAATATGACCCACATGCTGAACAAAGCTTTTCAAAGAGCTAAAAAAACTAAGTACATGTCCGACAGATGTAGTACTCTATCAGCTAGTACTTGGATTTTGTATAAACCGAAAGGTGCCATTTTGCACTATGACAATTAAGTCCAATTACCTTGCGCTGTATAAACCGTACCCACATCCATCTTAAAACTACCCAATGGCTTACTGGTGCGAACAAAGCTGCGGGACTGCAAGACCTACATGAAGTGTAGAGTTAAGAAGAAGAAGAGAGTGAATTAGGAATGAAGTTGCTTTGACACACTTAGAAACAAATAATATTGGATGATAAATGCAGCATCCATTAAGTATTTCTTCCATATACAGTATGACAATTTGAATGTCAATGTGAATGAAATAGCACCTTCAGTAAAGATAACATGCATTTTCCCCTAAATATGATCCACGGCCAGGCAATCAATTTGAAAAAAAAAATGGATATTACACCAGAAATATCCATTTTGTTGTTCTTATTTCACTGTATTTTATGAAATATCCAGCTAAACTATAAGGCAGAGGCCAATTCCATATAATATTTTACATTAGCATCCATATATATTTGTTTCTACCGTGACAGTCAACCACTGATACTATATAGCTATGGTCCTTCCCAGAACTGTACTTATATTTAAACTGTTAAACTGGAAATAAGCTGAATTTAGCAAACAATTAAATTGGTATGATATAACATATGGGATAATTTTCAACAGGTGATGAGCTGTTTTCTACCTCATGATGCATGACAGCATCAGTAAAACTACAAGAACATGTACTTGTGTATCACTGAGTTCAGTTCTGAGTAAGGCCTTGCATTAAAACACAACATATATATGAACCCCAAACCCCAAAAAACAGATGAAAATCCATCAACATCCAACAAAAGTTGTCTTGAAAATCGTAAGAGGAGAGTCAATATCTAACCTGCATCTCAAAAGGGAATAATGACAATATATAAAAATCTACAAGATAAAAACCCACAAAGGCAAAATAACAGTGCTGAATGTGATTTGGCCGTTTTCCTTTGTTGCGTTTTGCTGCAATCTGTTAACTGAGCAAAACACAGCACAAATCAAAACAATCACACCATTCAGAATGGAAGTCAGAGGTAAAAACTGTGACAAAAGCACAAAACAAATGACAACAAAATTGATATATTTTTCAATTTCTCTATACCAGCATGAGAATAAATTGTATAAAGGTCAATCTTGAAAGATCCCACTTTGCTCCCTTTGCGAATCAAGTTTCTGGAGTGCAGGACCTGAAAAATGTTCAATATGCAATGTGCCAACATTGACTGCTATGCAAATTGCATTTTTATTTGTTGCTGTAAAATTTTGAACTAAAAACACTGACATACATGTGGCTAAAAACAAAAACATCAACAAAAATATCATGTAAACAGTAAACAATTTTATTTACATTTCTGGCAATTAAATAATTTACAAATGCCGTTTAAAACATGTAGTTCAATCTGCATCCCACCTAATAGATCAAAGCCTCCATGCAACAGTCATCTGGTTACACAAGAAGAGTACATTATTCAAACAAAAATGCTGCCTTCCAGATTTCCCTGACATCAAACCAACCAATAAAAACACATTTATGTAATTAATGAGCTCTAATAATGAGGTTATTTTTGCTGAGAAAAAGCTTAAGCCAAGCACACACCCCAGCTTGGTGCTCTGAATTTGGGGAATGTGAATAATAAATCATGCTTTTTCCCTAAAAAATTAGAACATAAAGGTACTATTAGCTTGAAGTGTCTTAACTCACACTGTGAAGCATAGTTTAAAAATGCCCTAGTGTTTGTTAAGCACTAAAATAAGTATCAATATTCTCTAATATATTGTGCCTGGAATATATTTTCATATTATATATATATATATATATATATATATATATATATATATATATATATATATATATATATATATATATTAACATTTCATTCAAGTTAAGAGATAATCATCTCTGGTTTTTGACAGAAGCTATTAATCCGAATTCAACACAAACAAATGAAAATACTGCTTTTCTTACCGTAAGGGTGATGATCTTGTCAAACAGCATTGTTGGTGCCATATGGAAATCAAACACAAAGTACTGAAAAAATAATGGCAAAAATTCAATCTTATAAAATACCTACCATGGTATATCATGATTGAACAAATACTACTGAAAGTTGTAAGAACATTTTTTTCATATTCTTTTTTTCTTTTCACTTTTCTAACACTTTTCAATCAATCAATAATTTTCCATAAGTTTATGCACACAGATTTGGAAACTATGTAACTACAACCTTGGACATCAATTTTTCTTATCTTTGCATTCAAATATATTATGTCATTAGTCTTACAATGTGGTTACATATTACTATAATTATAATATTAATAGGGATTTCAACATTCTTCACATAAATGACTATTGATAGTCTTGTATCAATTATTTCATTGCTTAGGACATGACAAGCAATACATCTATAAAATGAAGTACAACATGTAACATTATGCAATTTACTTCCACAAAACTATATATATTTCATAACATTTCATCAGTAAAATTGCATTATATAATTCAACTGGCTGATTTTGCCCCTACACTGCCGTTATCTCACCTCATTGTAGTATGGACAGTTTGTGGACTCCTTAACACTGGTGTATTTCTTCTGATCTCCCACCTGGACACACACCACTGGGTCCATATTGAGACCTGCCAGTTGCCGCCCCTCTATGATAGTCACACACACCTGGAAATCCTGAGCTTTCAACGCAGACTGTTCTAAGGAGGGCTGAGGTATAGATCTGTGAAAAAATGGATGAATTTTATTCTCTTTCAAAAATTATGGAAAAAGTAAAATGAATTTGCCATAAATACTTTCATTAGCAAAGAGAATGGTTATTTAATCACCGTCAACATATATTTCGATTGCTTCACAGTTAACAGACAGTGAACGAACATTACAGTAGTGTAGAATTGATATAATGCCAACAATAAGAAACCAAAACAGTTGAACAAGGCCACAATGCAAAGGTTATTACCAGTTTTGCCATCACACAACTGCAAGGAGAAAGATAAATAGAAAATACTTATTTATACTGATTTATTAATCAGGTTACAAATTTGTATAGGACTGCATACTTTCACGTATATTTTACATCAACCTCATTAGTTTACGTGCTAGTGAGTATCTACTCAGATTTTTGCTATAAACCCTGGTGCACCTCATAAGTACCTTATCTACTACATGTAGTATATCTATAATGTCTTAGAAAGGAAAAAAATCAATATAATTATTCTTACAGTGCTAACCATTACTGACATTTATAGGGTGACAAGTGTATCCACTATATCGATTCCATGACAAAACACTGCCAACATTTGCCATGGGTGAATAAAATATGTATAAAATGGTCTAACTTAATAACTGGGATTGCACTATCCCAAGATAATGCATTTGGAAGAACTTGCATGTTCTTGCATGTGTAAGTTTTTGTGCAATTTAATTAGTTATATTTCAGTTCATTCTCATTATTTAGCTACAGTGTTCATTCTTTGAAGAGTACATGTAGCAAATTATGTAGATAGCTAAACCAGTGATCTAGGTACAGAGTCATTGGGTAGACAGACAGACACGTGGTAATTGCACATCCTCCATAACTAGATCAGGCCATTACTAGCTAGATCATCCATGTAGGCAGGGTTTAAGGGTAGATATTTTGGCCAGAAAAGGTTCACTCATAATATGAACTTAAGATACTATGCAATTTTTTCTCTATTTGGAACCAGTAAAAAGGTCCATCTAGTCAAAAAAAAAAAAAAAAAAAAAAAAAAAAAAAAAAAAAAAAAACATGCATACATGGAGATTTTTCAATACAATTACCCTGGAATGTGCAGGTAAAAGCAATTAGTTGTCAACTTGATGTCAAATATCTAATGAAGAATTTATCTCTAGTTGTTTTAATGTATGGTGTTAAGAACTCCAAGTAGATTCCCCTGATGAAATGATTTATTTACAGTGCAGGAGTGTTGTCCCTGGCTACAGTTATCCTATATGTGCAATGGAGGACATGTGATATGCATATTGTACAAGAAGACCAAAAGGCAAAATGAGTTATTGAGGTGAAAAAGATTTCCCAGGGAGTCACTGGTGGAGAAGACAGCAGGTGCCATTTCTATAAATAAAATCTTTGGAATGACCCAACCTTGGGATGAGAGGTTGTAGGTTTGAGGCAGGAATGTGAGGTTGTAGGTTTGAAGTACTGTCTAGCCCTTTAATACATATATTCAGTATTAACTGACAATTCTGGATAAACATACTATATTCCTAATGGGATGCTGCACTCAATGCATGGTCCAAGGGGAATTGTATGGAGACATTACAGTATATACCTGGGAGACACTGGCATTTTTACCAAGTGTAAGACAAGGTGTGCCAGTCTCAAGGGCGTAATTTTAGCCCACAAAGGGACATTTAATAAGCAAGTTGCATTTTATTATGTCAGCACTACTAATTGTTGCACATTCCTACTGTTCATTTCCATGTTGACATTTGCAACATCCCTATCTACAGTATGAATCAACGATAATTCTTTCAAACACACTCATTCAACAATCCAGTTTCAAACCCAAGTGATCATGATAACATTGATAGGCAACAAAATCCAATAATACTTTTTATTAGTAGCTGTTCCTGCTCCACCATAGGAAATGAGATGGTCTTCACTGACAATATTTTCTTGCATCTCCTCATCCTGTTTGTTCAGCATCTGCTGTACCAGGGCCAGATCTGGGTCAACATGTTCTTCCATTGTCATGCCTTCAACTGGAAATACAAAAAGGAATCAACATACGATGTATCTAAGATAATAAACAGTGTTAATAATTTGTGGACTTAAACACTCAGGTCAAATAATAGACACCTTCAACCAAGGTCACAATTCATTTGATCAACATGGCCCACAGTAGGGAGGGGATTTGAGGTTAAGGCGGTTGGAATGAACTGCCCTTTTGGCTGGGAAATGGTTCGCTCTGGAATTGGACCTTAGTTCTATGCCATTATACTTAAAATGTCTTATTTTACAGTAACACAAACCACTAGTTGAAATTCCTGGCTTCTGGCTTAATCAAATTATTTCCAGAGGGTATACAGTTTTACCGTCTTTAGTCTTTGTCACCATAGGTTGACATTCCTAAGTGGGGACTTGGGGAATCTATTTCTATGAAAGTTTTAGTAGGAATCACAAAACAACAAACCAATGATTCTATTTGAAAACATAAGTGAACAAGGCAGCAAAGCTGTCAAATGTACAGACAAAAAGAAGAAAATAATGATGCACAAAATAGGCTACTGTCAATTCTGATGCAATAATACATTATGCTTAACTGCAAAGTCAACACCAAATTTTAATTATGCACAACATGTAAAACAGATAAAAGTAAAATGTGTAACTAGCATAAGGCTTCAGACCCATGAGAGTTAAGTCCACACTTTAAAAATGCCACAATGAGAAATACGAACATTTCACAAAAAATTGCATAGATTCAAGAAAAAATGACAATTCAATCAAGCTGGTTTTCCAATTTGAGCTGTATTTCAATCCTAAGAATCATTCTTTTAAGTAACAAAATAATTAGTAACTCAGTTTTCTTTTCATAACGTTTGTGGTGGCAGTAGCTTTTCTGTTAATTTTGATGCAATATTACAAAATGATTAACAGGATAATCACCACAAATTTTTAATTATTTACTATACATAACATGGACATTTAGAAAATGGTGATTACCATTTTATTCATGCCTGTGGGACATCGAGGTCCCACATTGAAAAAGCCATTTAAAATTTCATATTTAGGAATTCATAAAGAACTGCACTGCTTCCAGAAGAGAAAGCAATCAGACTTTTTCCAACTCAAGCTGCATTTCAGTCCTATGAATCTTTTCAGTATGTTTGAATATCATAACATAGTTTTCCTTTAATGGTCAATATACATGTAGTGGCAGTGCCTAAAATAGGGTTTTCTTCAATTTATACGTAAAGAGCATGGTTGGAAATAATGTAATTATTAAAGGTGGCTGGAATATATATATAGTGCCATGAAAACACCAGGGTATATATTAAAATGAACCTGGGGGTTTTCCACCACCCAAAAAATATCAAGTAATGAAAGAACACATGTAATGTGATATGTACAATTTAATGTAGAAGAAATATTACTTTGATGGGAAAAGAGCTTGTGCATAAGCTAGCTTTAAAATCTATGGAATTAAGCTGTAAAGTCCCGTGGTAAAAATCTTGCGGCTGTAGTCTTTGAACTTTATAACAATGTACACATAAGAACTTGTCGTGAAATATGCATTAAAAATTATATATACATATATCCTTTAACAGTGCAATGTGAGGTACTAAAATTGTCATCTTTATACACCCTTCCTGTATGGAAGACAAGGGGGATGGAGAGTCTATCCTAGAAATGTATGTATTTTTTTAACGCGTTGGAGCCCCATCACTCCAGAGAACGTATTTGTTGGTCTGACATGCCCCTGCTGACCACCAAGGTTGTGCTCCCAATTCAAGCGGTATGTTACAGCCACCTTTAATAATTACATCATTTCCAACCGTGCTCTATACGTATTTACATGCAGTTCACGATCAACGTACTCATAACGGGTCGACTGGGTGACTCCCTATCACCGCTAGGTCTATGACATAATTTTCAAACATAGTCACCTAATTTTACAATTATTTTGAAGAGGAATAAATTTCATCTACATTTTCAAGTTTGTTTTAATATTTCAATTTTTGTTAAAAAGCTATATATGATCAAAATATAATAATATCATTAGCAAAATTAATCAAGAAAGTCACATACAAGGACTATTCATCTTCTTTAAAGCTTACAGTACCAGGAAGGTTAGGAATATCTATTATATGATTCTATTTCTTAGAACCACCTCCCTTGAGACCAGACATTGCCTTTTTTCTGTTTAACAACAAAGTAAGTTAGAAATGCTAACATCCATTCAAATGTTCTTACAGATACAGGTGATGCCTATTTGTGCACATTCACACAGTGTGACTGTATAATAAAAATGAATCCACAGAATTCTTCCTGGAAAAATGCTGGTAAAGTAAAACTGATGGCACACTGTCTAGATTGCATATCCAATTTTGAAATAATATATGGTACAAGAACTGTTATCAATAACCATGAAGGTAGCATGTTTCCAAACAAAACAATTACAAGAAAAACCATTTCCAAGAAAAACAATTACATGCCAGTGTGACACTGCAAACTAATGTAACAAGTTAATGATCTCATTTACCATGCATCAACACTTAAAAAAGCAAAGCAAGGAGTGATCTATACTTACCACTCTTTGCATCTTCTATTTGTATCACAGGGGGGCCATCCTCTTCATCCATTGGAGGACGTTGCTTGCCAAGCTTCATCAGTCTGGCTACTGAGCGTATTTTCATTCTGAAATACAATCCAAAATGATGCCACTTAATGAAATTTATAAAATCTTAACTTTTTCTCTGTAACAATTATTCTTTGGAAGTGACATGCATTTGACCTTCATTTTGACCAAAAATCACACACACACACACACACACACACACACACACACACACACACAAAATCAACAATAAAAATATAAATAAAACAAATTGGGCAAAACAATAATGATGATAGTAATATCAACAGAAATAACATAAATAAACTGTATGAACATGTTGTGGAGAGTTAAAAATTTTTTATCCAAACTACTAAGAAAAAGATCATTTCAAAGAATTATGATAGCTTTTCAAAAGACTTCTTAAGATAAAGAGTTTTATCAAGCAACATCCAGTCATTGTTTGAGAATCAAGGTCTTCTGTAAATTCTATAAATTAGAGATTATATTTATCAAGTAAAAGTTGGAAATTTTTAAAACCATTCAACCTAGCGTGGTTCAAGGTAAATAAATGAAAGACAAAGTGGCTTCTGAAAATTGCAAATAAAATCTAATTAGCTGCCACTAAATTGCCATTAGTCAGACAGCTTGTGTGTTGTAGTTGGCAATGTATGTTTTCATGAATGAGTGATGGCTGGGAAGTGGAAATTAGACTTCACAAAATGCCCAGATACACTGCTTATTGTATTATCAATGAAAGAATAGCACACGAAAACGATGGGAGTCAGATACAGATGGTAACCTTGAACTTCTGCCCTTTAATCATATATAACATTAGGATTGGGTAAATTCAGCTCAATTCCATTAGAATCATATTCTCTATTGGAACAAGGTTATGGAGGGGTAAATTTCTCCCCACAGACCTATATTAGTGGGCCATATGAGTCATGTACATGTATGCACATGCAGATGCTACTTGGGATTACCTGGAAACAATAAAGTTGTATTACCATTCAATTTATCATTGTCATATAGCTACCTCTTGACTTCATATATAGGGTCACTGTTTTTTCATCATCAACTCTTCTTTTTTTTTTTTTTTTGCAATCTATCAGTATTTAAATGGATAACAATATATTTAAGAATTCTGGTAACCATAATATTGATATGTATAATATTGTTTGTGTTATATTAACCAAATTTTTTTCGACTTCATTTTTCACTCTATGAATAGTTTTCAGAAATTGATCAAAGAGTCTTCAAGCCTCTTCAAACAAGTGATGTCCTTACACAATGTAAGTAAAAAAACCAGAATGCATGTTACCTATTAACACTGTCTGTGGGGTGGCCACATAGGTACCGTTAACTAAGCTACAGAACCCTTGTTAACTAATCATGTTCCATAATGATCGATGCAACAATTAAATATCTGGTCTTAACAGTAATTACAAATGCTTGTCAAAATTACATTGCTTTGATCATATTTTCCAAAATGTGGTCAAAATGTTTCATATCTAAATTATGTGTGTCCTTAGAAGTCATGTTATTTGTAAACATCACACAACCTGTTTTACATGTATGTAAGCAAACCTAACTAGAAAGAGAAACTTTCAGAATCTGTCACACACTGCAAAATGTGACTGAAAAAATTTATTTAAAAGTTGTGAGAAAGAGGCACAGTTTTTTCCAAAAAGGCACAAAAAATGCTACTCTGCATTAAGTCTTTTAGCAAAAATAAATTACTAATAAAAAGGCTTCAGCAAGGAGGATATCCAAATCTTCAAATATAACCATATACTGATACCCTTACACATTAATTTATCATTGCTGCAGAAGGAGTCTTCTGGGACTTTTAGAAATTTAATTTGGAAAACTATACAATGGTTAACTTGATTATGACTTCTCATTTTAAATAGAATGTTCACATTTCCTGCCTTTAATCCAATCACAAATTATCTTTACACAATAAAAGGTTTCAGAGGGTCACTTCTGACTGATCAAGTCCTTTTGTTCTTTGAAATGTATGTTGTGTTGAAATAAATATTTTTTTATCAGTAAGGTCACATTGCTGACAACAGTATTAATACATGAATTTATGTGTCCATGTATGAAAAAGAACCAAGTTTGAGTAAAACATCAACTCCAAGCTTTCACATGAAAAAAATAATTCTGCATAACTTAAATTCAATTTACCAATGCTAAAATAGTACAAAATTATTGTCACTGATGTGTGATAATGTAATTTTTGCTAAACCATCTATTTCTAAGAAGAGCTTAAAGAGCATCCAAATGTTTCATTTAATTTTCCTTTCAGGAAATTAAAGGACTTGGATTTCATTACAATCATCCTATGTGAATCCATATATACTTGTAGATTGCTTTGAAAATGAAGGTCACCACCTTGTTCTTCAATCTCCTTGTAGAAGACAAGCAGTTGGGAATTAAGTATTGATAGAACTGATATGAATGACTCAAATTCAATCAAAAACTGAGCAAAAGGTATGGTAATGGTATGGCATGCTTTTCTATAAACATTTTGATAACACCTGCTTCTCATGAGGATGCAGTATTATATGGATTAAGCTTAGATATTACAACTTGCCAGGCATTTGAGAGCATTATATAATTCCCACTGTCATAGACAAATTGTACAGAAAGCTGGTAAAAGCTGAAGGATAGTCACAAGTCAAATCCTATACTGTTCATGTATATCCACAGTTAGTAATGGATCAAAATTGACTAGACAAATCCATCTAATCTATGACTCCATTAGCAAACCTATTCATTTCTGTTGTCTGTGGATTGGCTGCATAGGTACCTTCCACTAAGAAATGTGAGATATAATCAGGAAAATGATACATGCAATGGTAACACTAACCCCACATCAAATGTCAGGAAAATTGAAGTGGGACCTGAAAAACTTTGTTTCGGCTTTGGGCCAGTTCAATCTGAGGGCCTGGTGGCTTCAAAGGGCAGTGTGTAGGTTAAAAAAAATATTTGGCACAGACCACACTGATAAAAGTCACTAACCTTTTTGATCCATCCTTTTCTCCTTTCCCTGTAGATGATTTTGAACTTATACTGATCTTTGACCCTCGCCTTGATTTGCTTGGACTGGACACCAAAGATTCAGACTCACTATTCCTTTCAACATTCAACAAGTTTTTGTCTTCCTCTGTCAGGGTCTCTGCTTCATTGGTGAGGTCCATTCCTTCCCTCTGCCACACCCCTACTGAGCCATCAGGGGCATTATATGTCAATTCTAATGTGACTTTAGTCTGAAAATAATATGTGATTTTAAAGGTAAATAAATCCATGTCAACAGTTACAGATATTCACTATAAATATGGTTTTTAAGAAAGGTAAATAAAAGGTAAATAAATCCATGTCAACAGTTACAGATATTCAATATAAATATGGTTTTTAAGAATATGCTTAATTTGGCTGTGACATTTCCTTGTAATTGGTTCAATACCAAGGCTAAAAGTAAATCTATTTGTAACTGCCTTCTTTTCAAAAGATGAAAAATCTGACTAAACCTTAAGTGTTTGTTGTTGGCAATCATTTTTCTTTATAATTAATAAAGAGAACTTAGAAAGCAGTTTTCAATGGGGGAAAAACTACTGAACAGAATTTTCCTGTATTTTTTCAGAATGCCCTGTATACATGTTTTACTCCACAGTGCAATAAAGAATAAATTAAGGACCTCATACCATCTAACTCCTTGATAAAAAACATCAATGTAATATTGTGACACTAAATCAAACCAAAGTGGACATAAATGATAACTCAATGCATCCTCTAGTCTTTAATCTTCCTTTATCTGGAGGTCCATAACCCATTTTTATGTGTTCACCAATCTACATCAAATGTCCAAATCAATTACCTGTCTTAATTTGACTGAAAATGAGTAGTTTATCCACTGCTTCAGTATCAATAATAAATAATCAATATAGTGCTGCCTCATTACAGGACCATGAGTGATTTATTCTGTGTTCAGCGAACAGGATAAATTGCTACAAAGTCAGAAAATAAAAGAGACAGAAATCAATAAAACAGGATGATCTATCACTCACAATACTGTTGGTGTAAGTATGGCACATCAATATAGAATAGCTATTTTTTTCAAAATCTAGATAAGGTAAACCATGTACTGTACCGGGTTAATTATATATCAAGTGGTTTGCTAAGGAACCATGAAAGCCAGATGAATCATTCATCACAAATTGCACAAATTTCTTTTTTTCAAATACACAGGAAATTCTGTCAACTATCAGCCTAAATAATGATTTTTCATGCAGGGCAGGCTATAGAATTTAATCATATTAATCAAATCAACTAGATTGCCTATACACAACAGCTCTAAAAGCACATAGATTTTGTTTCTTTTATGTCACTAACAAAAGAATGACACCTAAAAACAAATGGAATCTTCAGTCAAAATCATTAAGAATAAAAAAACAACTACAACTAAAGCTGTCAATGAAAAGGATGTAACATACATATCTAACATATCACAGTATTAAAAAAACAGCAAGCTGTTAAGTACTTGGTGCTATTAGGATATTTATTTTACCAATGTTAATTTAAAAGAGACTAAAAAGGAGGCAAAGTGCATAGAGCAACATATATATCTACGAAGTCAGTATATACAAAAAAAGTAGAAAAAGAAAGAAAATTAGGATAGAATGAAAAGGAATGAATGGACAATAAAGTCGCTACAGTAATCAGCTTTCCTGCATTTAACTTGTCTTTCCTGTGATAAATGTACTCATTAATGTATAAAGTTGATACATTATCTTCAATTATGACATGTTTTAATTTCAAAAGCAAAGACATGTTCACTAATTAGCAGATTATCTGGCACAGAGTGAAGGATTTTATGGCAAAAATAATATAATTGCAGTCACTGGCCTTAACTTTCTTAGAAATGTATATACATCTGCAAATGTAAATACAATATATGACTGTTGTGCTTGGATTTTATACTAGAAACAAGGCAGCAAAGCTGTCAAATGTACAGACAAAAAGCAGAAAATAATAATGCTCAAAACATGATACTGTCAATTCTGATGCAATAATACATTATGCTTAACTGTACAGTCAACATCAAATTTTAATTATGCACAACTGGTAATAGTTCAAGATTAGAATGAGAAAAATGAAAATTTCACAAAAAAAAAAGAAGCATAAATTCAATAAAAAATGATAATCCAACAGAGCTGGTTTTCTAATTTCAGTTGTAAATGTCAATCCTAAGAATCATTCTTGAAATGCTAAAAATATAATAAGTAACACAGTTTTCTTTTTATAACGTTTGTGGTGACAGTGCACAAAAAAGTTTTTTGTCTATTTTGATGCAAAATAGGCATTACCTTTGGAAAAAGTGGCCCAATCATTCTGATTTTCGAATTTGACGTGCATTTTATAAATATTCATGAGTTCTGTAAGTTTTAAGCCAAAAGGTAAAATGGTTTTTCACTTATCATGTTATCGGTGTTGCAAATATGCTGAAAAAAAAGCAAAAACAGCATAACTTTTGAAAGAATGACCCAATCATGCTGATTTTTGGACTTGTTTTATGAATATTCATCAGTTCTGTAAGTTTAAAGCAATAAGGTAAAATGGTTTTCCACTTATCATGTTATTGGTGGTAAAAGTGCACACCAAAAAGGGCGACGGCAACAGAAGGGGCAACAACAGATGCAGGTGACTGCTATATATACAGACACATCTGTGTCTGTACATAAAAAGCATGTCTCAGATAAATTTGATGATGAACTACACTGTAAGACTTCATGGATCATTTTCTTAAATCAATACATATGACAACATTTCCTTTCCAACTATTAGGTTTGCAAGTCAATACCATTCCATGGACACTTAAAAACTGCTCTAATGAGGTTTCTTTAAAATAGCGATTTTTACGCCTGGTAATGTACTACCACGAACTGCATGTTGCCTTGAAATCTTATCTGATGAAATTTGTTAAGTTGACTGACTTCCTATTTCTGTTAAAGGCATTTATATACTGTTAAAATGCTGCAATATGTCACTGACCAGTCCGCAGATCATGGAATAATAATGCAGCTGAAACCAATGGATATTAGCCAATTCTTCTGAAAAATATCAACTCTAAGAGTGTTTATTGATATAAAACAAAAGTTGTGTACTTTCTCAATTCTATCCCATAAATCAAAATGTACACAAAATAAATCCTTTTAACTTAAATTTTCCATACAGACTTAACTGCTTTGAATTTGCATTGTATACTGCATCTACATGTATGTAGTAGGATGTAGCATGTATTGTTAACATGAGATGAAAAAAATCCATACATCGCATGTCTAAAAATCTAACATTACTACTCCTGACAAGAGCAATGTATCAGCATATGTCCTCAATATATGTTTTATTATACCTCACTAAAGCAATTTTTCTTTTTTTCACAACAGTATCCATGCACAAGTAAAAGAACACAGCTAACTTGATTTTACCATCAAAATAACTTTGTTATTACCAGTTAATTTTCATTTTCCAAAACAGATTATTCCACTTGTCTTCTGGAGGAAATTGCCTCTGTAAGTCTATTATATTGGGAATGACAGGAACTAATTAAGTCATACTGACTGTGCAATTTGAATGACACTCAATTTTTTTCAAAATGTTGCAAAAGCAAAAATGTTAGCAACTTTTGATGTTATCATGGTGGACACTGGGACTGTAAATCAATATGTAGTTTTGCAGACCCCAAGCTAAGTCTATCAATGGAAGATATTATTTTTTTTAAGTCAACAAGGTGCAGGAATGAATGAAGAACATTGTAGGATTCTTCAGTTATTTTATTCAATGCTATACTGAGATGACCAATACTTCTTACTTTGAGTTTTGAACTCCTTAAGTAGGTGAATGCAGCTTTGATCAGAGTCCCCATTATTTCTTTAAAACATTTTAGAACTTTTGTCAATTATAGATATATTGATATCCTTGAGAATTGCTTCACAAAAAAGCACTTGAGCTAAGTTAAGGCTGATAAAATTGGAGTCCCAAACACAAAGTTATCTTTGCCAGAATATACAATATTTGTGTCAGAGTTTTTAAGAATGATTGGTGCACAATAAGTGAATTTGACTTATCTAAATGTGCTTTTGTTGTCATAGAGAGTAAAAACCTTAGCCTAGATTGCCACATTTTGCTCAAGGGACTTACTTAAAATATTTTTAAGATGAGGTACAATATGCAGCCATTTTGAGTTTTGATTATTTGCGAAATGCAAATTAGTTTCAACGGGCTCCGCTCCCCCCCCCCCTTAAAACTGACCCAAGAGTTTTCATAAAACAGGCTCCTGCTTACCTTCATCATGACATTGTTCTCATTTAGCAAGTGGTCAGTTATCTTGACATGGCCTGTTTCTACCAACTCCTGGAGCAGCATCTGGAAGAAACCCACTTGCCTGAAAAAAAAATGAATCAGTTCATCTTTCTATTAAGTCAAATTTCTGAGGTTATATATACGAGTATATTATATCTTCAATAGTCTATAGTGACAACTACACCCTAGTCCATTTCAAAGTGACTGAATTAATAGTAATAATAAACGTTCAGCTAATATATGTATGTACAAAATATATATCAGAAATTTATGGTAAATACGGACAGAGCTCTTTTAATTGATAACAAATAGAAAAGTCTTGGAGTGCAGTCCAGCAATGGTGTTCCACAAGTGTAGACATAACTATTTCTACTGGCTTCCTAAGGAATCAAAAACTGTTATCTTTTAAGAATGTATCAAGAACAAGCAATTTAATTCATCAGATACCTGGATTTCTACAATGAACCTCACCTGTTGTTAAGGTATTTGTTGTAATTAAACAACTGTACCTCCACCATCTCACGGCCGTCAACAGGTCGTGCCACTGGCCAAGTAAAGGTCTGAAAAGAATGGCAATAAATGAAAACCTTGCATTAATTTCACATCTTTTTCTTTGGTTTTCCAAGATACAGATAGATAGATAGATAGATTTCTGACACTATTGGTCACTCAGACTTAATCTCAAATGTTCAATGACTGCATATAGGTAATAAAGCTTGCTTCCACTGAAATATACAAAACCACTCTACTGAAACAATAAAAAATTTAATCTACGTAAATTGTTGGTTTTTTTTTTAAACTAATGCAAAAGAAATTGAAATGATTTATATGTGTAGTAGTTCTGGAGCCATCACAGAGCAACAACAATGAACTCTTCTTCACAAAAAGTACTATGTGTTCTCTTGAATCATCAAAGAAGTATCTTGTTCATTTTTCCACAAATGCTGATCAATTTGGTGTAGTTAAGCACACATATATTTCACTATTACAGTAATCGTCATAATACAATCCCTGAGAGAAAACAAGTAGGTACAATGACAAAATAATCAAATCAGATTCATCCCTTATGGATGATGAAACCTAACACTGATGACGAAATCAAACATTTCTCCAATCTTTCAGCCACCAAAATAATGGTAATGCATAAAATTCAGAACATCAAATTCAGATTGTCTTTTAGTGATGTGTCCAAGTTCTAGAATACCCTCATCAAGTAACTCTTAGTTGCAGACAGATTTTTCATTCAGTCTAATGATCTTTATCAATATATCACCCTTCATATAGTATACTGGTATGCCATTTTCTAACAGATAGTTACTTGGGGAATAAAACAATAAAAAATGGAAGTTCAGAGAGGTGGATAAAACCACCTGTAAAAGTACCACTAACTCGTATAAATGCCATAAATGACGTTTGAAAAAATGATTAGACAGAGAAATCAAAATCTGAAATACAAAACATTTTAGTTCACACATAAATGCAATGTAGCTATTTTTATCGAATCTGTAAAAAACACCCAAACTTATTCAAGAAAGTACCATAAAATGAAAATAAATAACTAAATAAAAAACTTGGGATCATAGGTTGAACGTCAGGCACCCTAATATGGGGCCCATGTGGCACTGTAATTTAGGCATCAACTTATACTAGTGTGTACGGTACCTCAGAGTGATAAAAAAAATCTTGGATCACCAGAACCATTATTCAGCTCTAAGATGTGTTCAGGTACAGATCTAAAAACTTTGCAAAACCCTTAGTCTAACTTGTACAGGTATATATTTGATAATAAATGTATTGATAACACTGACAGAATATCACCAAAATATCATTTACTGATATGTGTATAGAACTTTGGAGGTCGTGAATTTAAATCCATCACATCAGTGGTATAACCAAGATATATATACTTACAGTATACAGGGCATGGTATAACTCAGATATATACTAATGTTACATGGCTTAAGTTAGTTATATACAACCATTGTGGTCTAACTGAATTTAAGGATGTGAGCACTGGTGTGCTCTAAGTTAATTAAGGGATGTGTGCTGTGTTTGATTCAACAGGCAAACTTGACACAGAATCATACTCTTAAAAATGGCCTGATCCTGATAACAACATCATGGTTTCTCAAGGTACCTTTGGGGATCCATCATCAAATTTTATATTGGATTTCTTTCCTCTTTTAAAATAGATTATACAGTCAAATTATAATGTCCCCCAAAGGCCATGTCTTATTCAATTAAATGCTGGCATCTTTACCTAAAGGCCTTCCACCTTATGATGTCTGATGATGACCTTTATTCAAATTTATTTGCCTAAACTATAAAAGTACAGATGTATACATATATATATATATAATATGATATTTGTTTGTTCTAGATGAAAAAAATCAAAAAAGTTGGGCAATGTAGTCCTTGTCAAAGTGATAACATTTCCTTATATTAAGTCAAAAATAAAAATCAGGCTTGAGAACTCATGCATTGGGGTAGGAACAAATTACAAGTGTATGCAATGTTCTGTAAAGTTGTATGGGAACTCTATTAGTTTTATTACCCTGAAGAGAAGTTGAAAGCAAGATATTTCAATCCATCACTGATAGACCATATAAGGCTGTTTATTCCCATAGAACCAAAGAACGAAACACACACTGTATCACATACTTCAGGAAATTGTGTACCATGACGTCAATATGAACTGGGATAATTCATTTATGACGGATGTGGTTATTGTCTTAGTCTAGCGTTGCAACCTAATGAATCACCTCAACTAATGGGCACTTACATCTAACAACCTGTCTTCACTGTCTCTAGACAATAATATGTTGCTACAATGTAGGATAAATAGGTTTAGATGTCACAGTTCTGCATCATACATGTATCTCTCTATGTTATCAACAAACTGCTTTCAGGGTAAGTTAAACTTTAAAGAGGTTTAGAGGTGGTCTGAACGGGAGTCTCTATGATATGTTCATCTGGTGAGGTCAGATTGACTTTTTGGGTTTCAAAAATTAAGCTGGACTATGCTTTTTTCATTTGGTTTTAATCTGACTTTAAATGATGTAATGCCTAGCAAATGCAGAGTTCCAACTGGGTTTAAAAAAAAAACTGCCACAGGTATATTTAAATTTCTGCACAGACTCTGCCAAATCACAGACACTTTTTTCTGAACGTAATAAGTCAGTGTCAAGTTCTGGAAGAAAGGAAACCAGAAGATTACTTTAAATCCCCTGTCATTAAAATTTCGATCACGTTCAAGGTCTTTAATTTTTCCCCTCTTTCTTCCACAGTCCTCCTGCATGCAGATGCACATACAAACACCACCCTATGTAGTGTTCACTCCACTGGGTATTATTTCCTGACCAATGTGCCAATATTAACTTTATGTCTATCAAGGGGCAACAACTGTCTATCCAAGCTTCATAGGCAGCACATGTAGACAACTATAATACATAAATGCTGCCCATGGGAGCAAGCTGAAGAAAGGAAGGGGGCAATTTTTAACACAGTACAGTATGAAAACATCCCCTTAAGGCTTTAACTTTCTGTTAAAGTTATTGACACAGACTTATGCAACAGTTTAGTCAAAAGCTTTTTGACACCATATACTGAAATAGGAAACAAAGGCAGTAATAATGTGCTGGACCGGGACTTATCATCATTTACTATTCATGTCATCAAGTAATATTGATCTATGTATTTTTTTTCCTTTTCATTTATAGAAACACTGTGTGTGCCAGTATCATTAAATTACTTGTCATGAAAATTCTTTTTTCCAAACCAAAGTAAAATAACTGGATCATGCCAGCATTTCATAATCTTTTGGCAAATCAAAGATTATCAGAGATATTTATCTTTCCATTTTATTATACACACACACACAAAAAAAAAACATCAAGCAAGCAGGATTGAAACAACAATAATTAATTTATTGAAGTGATCAACATATCAACAGATGAAGTGATGGCATTCTTGAATAGCTCCACTGTTAATTAGAACATGCCTACATACCTCATCAAACCAGCAGCAGTCTTCCACATTTTCAATGACCTTAGAGTAGTGGGCAACACCTGAAATCATAAAAAAATTAATCAATATGTACATGATCAATCAATATGTACATTTTACAGGTTATCACATCAATTGTCTCTGATTCAAATGGACTGCAGTACCGGTACATACTGCATAAAGCATGTGTTCTATTTATTCAATTCGAAGTTTAAAATAATCAAATATGGTTTAGGGAAAAGCAAATCTCTTACCATTTCTTTTGACATTTTTAACAATTAAAAAAAAAGCAATTCAGCTACTACTGCCCAATTATGCATGAACTTATAATGATGCAGCACAAAATATTTTCTTCAAAACAAAAATTAACTGCTTACTGCTACTGTATTAAATATATAGCAACCATTATCTTTTACTACTTGACCCTTAATTGACACAATCATATTCAAGTAATTGAAATGTCATAGAAACTAAAAAAACTACAAAAACTAGGGTGAGTTCAGTTCATTAATTCTATATTGTGACCTACAAAGAATAATAAAGTAGTTAGAAGTAATCACAGAAACAAATGTATGTTCACTTTAATAAATCTCAATCTTAGCACGCTACTGTCCCTTTGGGGTCAACCTAATGTGTTGATTTAAGTTACAAAAAGTAAATTACTTATGGAAGCGGTTGTTGGTCTTGCAATGCCAGTAATCTTTTAAGATTACTGGCATTAATTGAAACACACACAAATCACAAATTAAAATTTGTTTTGACCAATCTCTTGTTATTTGTGTAATGATTCTTAGCACCCAATCAGTTTGGTTGCCACAAAAAAAGTCACATACATGTAAATAAAACCATCTTTTAAGAAATTCAAGAAATTTGATCCCAAACATTTTAGACACAATCTCAATAAGTCTGCCATTAACAAGTCAATGTATTTAGTAACACCTGAGGAAGTGTTGCTACACTCCTGTATATTACTTATACCATACATATTTATTCATACACTGCATCACTCTGTTTAATTAAAAAAAATACTAAGTTTGTAAGCTGGAACAAGGAAGTTTCTAGGCTAAAAATAATCATAACTTATCCTAAAGCAAATTAAGTTATACATGATAAACACTTGCATGATTCTATGCATTTTGAAAACCACATGTCACATATAATTTAGCAACTACTGGTTCTACTAGTAACATCATTATGCCCCATAACAGGACAAATAATTTCTAGTCACTAATTAAAGCTTCCAAGATGCAGCCTCATTTACTCCTGACAAGCACATGTGGGTGGAACATTTTCACACACAGCCAGTAATGTTATTTTCATCCCTCGGATGAATAACCAAGGAAACCTTTTATGAGTTTGCAGATGTGCAGATAGTTATTTCCAGAAAAATCACTCTCTCAGGACTAGGCTTAAGCATTTCTTCGCTATAGAGAATGCATGATTTTAAACGAATGCAGTGGCAAAAATCTATTTGAATGTGGTTACAAGTCAATTTACCGGCAACTGATTCAATCACTGGTTCAGATGTCTTTCCAGTATGCCAAATTGAGACTGAAATTGAAATAGTATTGTTTTATCAAACAGGTATTATTAAAGTAAAAAAAAAGTTACATGTCCGACATGTATTATAACTACCATAGCCATTGAAATTCAACAAAATTTCACCTTTAAGAAATAAAAAGTCTGGTTCTCATGTACCGCTCTCAGCTGCATCTCTGCATGGTTTACAATTGATGGCTGTTATTATTTTTATTTTTGTCTTGATGCAGAGTGGGTGTAGATCTTTTCGGTTTCCTAGGAAGGATACAGCCTGACCAGCTGCTGTATTAAGGCACTGGAAAGCTAGCATACAAGCTTTTTTTCCTTGCCACACCAGTTATTAAAATGGGGTAATATTCTATAACATTCAGGGCTCATATGAATATTTTGAACACATTGTATTTTACTTTACAAAGAACTTGATAGTTTTACAATTATAAAAACCACTGTTATCCAAAGCTTCAACATAAAGTCTTGTTCAAAAGTAAAGGAAAGTTATTAAGGCAAAAGTTAAGGACCCAATATAAGTGCAACTGCTCAAAATGCCCATGATATACTTGGGAATGCACCAAAAGTGCCCAAATCCCAAGCAACACAAAACTGTTTGTGCATACTGTGTGCATGTGCATACATGTATTGTTACTATATATATGTGTGCACACAAATGCATGGGAGCATGTGTACGTACATTCTTGCATGACAACATGCAACATATCAAAGCCATGTTATTGATGTAGTGCTTTAACTAATAAGTGGATACAACTTACCTAACTTAAGACCCAATCAATAATTCTGTAAGATTCAATCATTCCAGCTGTTATACCTGACAAGGAAGGTGTTGATCAAGTGCACACTGTAACAGTTTTTGTGTGTTCACCATTGGTTTGATAAATTGCCTTGTCTGACTTTTGCAGTAAAACACTTTTTTTTAAAGGATAACAACTGTTCATTTTGGCCAAAAAATTAATTTTCCTAGGGTAAAGGGCTATTTTCCCATGCTTACCAATGGTAAATGAATCCATTCCCACATTCAAAATTAGCCCTGTTTTTTTTCTAAAAAGTTTTTTTTTTTTTTTTTTTTTGTAATAATCTCTTAAGAGATAATCTCTTAAGAGATTATTAGAGTGTAGCCTTCTGCAGAGGTCATGTGATGTGATATGGTAAGGACAAATTTCAGAATAATTGTGTTAACTGCTGTTTTTGGTGGTAAAATACAATTTATTATATTTCTATGAGTTATTTACAATGTATTTATTGTGAAATATGGATAATTTATGAATGGTTGCTATCCCATTTTAAAATTTACCTTATAAATTATATTCATATGGTAAATGTTCACATATTCACTCTGAGACTTCTATAAACTGTCTTATCCTGAAAATCCAATCAAAAGTGCTGAAGTTTTTTTTAATATGAAGTCCACTATCTTGACTTATAAACATACACTGATGAAAAGAACCTCTTCTTTGGCAGAGGTTTTTACTGAGATATCATGGCTCAACTATTAGATTACTGGAAAATTAGATATTAGGCTGCTATCCAGGGGTTAAGTTGGTACACTCTGTGGACATTGTTGACAACCTGAGTTTCACCTCTTTTTATTTTAATTCATCTATGAAACAAAGGGTACTTTATTGGCATGGATACAATAATTGCATGACTGTTAATTTCCCTCCTTCATGGATTCCCATTGTAATACTGCGGCAATGCATTCAGATGATTTCTGTTTTCCTGTGCATGTGTGTGTGTGTGTGTGTGTGTGTGTGTGTGTGGAATTTGCATGTGATGGAATAGGGCGGGGTATAATCAAGCAGCCTTATACATACAAACGTACATTCTTGTACATTCTTATTGTCATCTGAACAAAACTTGTATCATGGGTACACAATACCAATGCTTGCATGTACATACTAATCAGCGGATGAATCTGATCAATTTCAAGCAACCACCTAATTATCAGGCTGGTAATGATCCCTAAATACGGCAGTTTCACCATTTAACGGAAAATTATCTTTAATATATAACACTTACATTGATTCTTTGAAAGATAAGGAAGGAGTGCACAACTATTCCTGGCCTTATTTGCAGAGTAAAATCTGGACTGATGCATTACTAAAGATGGGGACTGGTGATTCAGCTCTCCTCCACCATTACTCCACCCACCCACCCACCCACACACACACACACACACACACAAAGAAAAAAACTCTGCTGACATTGTCCACCCTTTTTTAAATATAAAAATATACAGTACAAGTTCAATAGAAGAGTTTCCCTAAATGTTTAGGCAACTGATCACTTTTACTTCCTCCAACAAAAATGCTAATGATTTATCAGCATCTGTTTGTTTGTTGACTAATACAGTTGTACTAGTAAGTCAAAAGTTTCTTTGCAAAATTTGATAAAATCTTTCTGAGATAGACAGTTTAGGAGAAAATGAAGTATCTGCATAGGTCTCATTTTATTTATTTTAAATATTTACCATACATATATATATGGCAAAATCAAATATGTCTTTAAATTTGCCAGACCTAATTTATATGGTTTAAAATTCCTTTGATCCTAAAACATATTGAGTCTTTTTGTTATACATACTAGTTTCAGTGCATTAACCAGATTCTATGAAAATCATACAGGCAAACTTGGACAAAATTTGAGGATCTTAATTGTTATCATTCCATTCCTTGATCTGTGCTCTTTGAGCAACTTCATTTTCTTATTAATTACATTCTGCAGGAGGAACTCTGAGAACTCAGAGTGATCTATGCAGCTAGTACCAAAGAAAATATCCATTCTATAAGATTTCTTTGAGATAAACAATAATTAGAGATATAAGTTGATGAATTAAGAAGAGTCTACTGTAATTAAATCCGCTAGTCTGTGACACGAACACATTTACAGTACAAATGCCTCTTCACATGGGAGTTACATGTAATACTCATGTGCACAATCACATGTTAGAGCCTTCATGCATGTCAAATTTCATTTAAATTGATTGAATGGTAGAGAGAGATCATCAGACAGAATTGCTGTATGCCTAATAGTATCAATTAATTTTCTTTTCAAACTCTTAGAAATAGTAAAAAAAAAAGCCAAAATTATTGAAAGAAGATTAAGGAATAACATCATATCATGCCCACTATCTTGAACTTGACTGGCATTTCAGGACCACAAATAATCCCAGGAGGTTACATAGTAAGCATTTGGATGATTGCAGCATCCACAAGGGCAAATTTATCTTTAAAAAATGTTGTAAAATAAGGAATAATTGGATCATGCAGCAATTTTACCCGATCGACATTTTAAAACAGTATTCATGTCAGTTTGAAGCAAAATGGTAATTATATTGCTTTCCAGGTATTTTGGAAACAATTATTAAATGTCCATGGATCCAGATAGAGCTCTGGCTTTACCTTCATTGTAGAAAAACTCAGGTGATGGGACCAGGTACATAAAAATGCTAACTTTCCAGAAAAGATATCAGAGGATAAACTGAATGGATGCAAATGAAATCAGCAGGAGA